AAATAGCAGGACAGACCGGGTTCTATAGCCTTGGATGACAACTGGTCTACCACAGAAAGAAATGGCAACCTACTGCAGGAAAAAATCTTCCTCGTCAGTGATCTATTGAAAGATACATGTATCATACATGGCACATAACTGACTGGTTTTAAGTCATTGCAGAAGCATAGTTATAGTGCAGAATTGCTTATACTCATAATTGAATGAACAGCCACTATACACACACACACGTTTCATTAAAGATGACTGACAAAGTACTGTAATTAAGCTTTTTATTTAATTTTTCTTATGTTTGTACAAGTGTTTTCTTTTCTGAATATAAAGTGTGTAAAAACTGTACAAAAGTTCAGCATATCCGAGTGCTTTCAGCTATTCTTTTCACCATTATCAAGAGCAAGTTTTTTTGTTTTTTGTTTTTTTTTTTTAACTGAATGTGTAGGTTTTTTATGTATGTGTCTGAAGTTATAGGAATGTTTTATTTTCCAAACACGATCAGCACATTGTTGCTGTGTTTGTAGTTAATGTTAATGAGTATTGGATTTTTCTTTTTTATTATTAGGTCTTCCATTATTTTTAATCTTTTTTTACATGCGGATGAGGTTTTTATGCTTGTATTTTCTAATATGTTTCAGATAGTTTGGTAGGTTTTTGTGTGTGTTTAAATGAGTCCTAATTGAGCTATGGACAGGTAGGTGTAATATGAGTTGTAGTATGACCAATATAATTATTTATGAGTTTGGTTTGATCAGGAACACAGTTCCTTAAGGTGCATTTGAACTTGTAAATAATGTTGGTTTTATATTTTTGATTTTGCGAGTGTATTGTTATTTTTGATAAAGTTAGCTGTTTTAAATTTTTTTAATAGATAATTTAATGTTGTTAATTTTGTGTATGTGCATTGTTTGTTTTTGATTTTGTTGACTGTACAGTATAGTAGGGTCAGTTGGGCACCGTCTGTGAGAAAAAGAGCACCATGACACAATTCACTTCGTCAGAAATTTGGAAATGGCATGCTGTACTGCTTGGCATTTGCACTGGAAGCTCCAGTATGAACATTTCAGTGTTTGGGTGTCAATCTGAAGAGAGTACAGAGGATTCAGGAAGAGTTGGATGAGTTTAATGATTATGAAAGTACAGCAGCTTGGAAAACTCATTTGGATAAGAAAAGAACTTCTGAATTTGTTGGTGAGGGTCTCAGACTCAACACAGGGGCCTATATCAAGTGTCTTGAGGAGTTAGTGCTGCCCTGGGTCAAGAGGGTGGCTGCTGGAAGACCCTATGTCTGGCAACAGGATCCTACGTCATGTCACACAGGCAGGTGAACACAGTCATGGCTATCAGACAATTTTTTCAAACACAACACCCCTTACATATGGCCACCTAACTACCAGACTTCAACCCTATTGATTATTATATGGTGTGCAATTGAGCGAAAGACCAACAAAACTCCTTGTATCACCAAAGATGAACTGAAGGCAAGGATTACAGCAGCATTCACCAACTTAAACAAGGAGACCACCCAGAAGAGTTGCAGGAGATTCTGAAGTCGTCTGGGAGCTGTAGTTGAAGCCAATGGCCATTTTATTGAATAAATTTACTCTTTAGTATTTCAAGGTACTTTGTGTAATTTTGGTAAAAATGAGATGTCAATGTTATTTTTGCCTAAGTTAGACAACGATTTATCCCTCACACCATTTTATATATATATATATATAATATATATATATATATATATATAAAATCATGTATGCATGCATTCATGAGGTGTGCTTCTGTAACTTGTAAACATGCTACCATATTTGAATTAGTTGTATTTTTGTATCCAACTACTTTTAATTATTTCATTCTCATTTGTTCTTCACATCAAAGTTTTCCCATTTCAGTAATTTTTACTCCATAAATAGAAAAAAAAATTAAGTTTGCTTATCATTGAAGAAAGTAAATACCTTGGCTTTGACGTTGAATATTTAAGTAAAAGACATTTAAAATTCTTGTATTTTTTTAAACTAACAGTCATATTAGTATTTTATTATGGATTTTTTTTGCAGTATTAATAAAAAAAATTAATAAAACAAAATGTAGGGACCACCCAAAAAATACAATACCTAAGGTTTAAAATGAATTAATCTTAAAAATTTAGGAAAATATTCTCTGTAATCTAATGTTTATTGAATTTTAGAAATGTTGACTTTAAATTTAATATAGTTATTTCCTGAAAATGTCATCTATGGTCACCCATACTTACAAAAATAAGCACACTTATACAAAAAAAAAAAAATCAAAATTCTTTTAAAAATATTGATGTTTGATGATATGTATTAAGCTTTTCCATTTATGATTAGTAAATATAGTTTTAACTTAATACCATCTAAATGTCAAAATTAATACAGAATTTTAAGATTTAAAACTTAAATTTTTCTAATTAAAATTGTAAAAATTCATTATTCATCAAAAAAATATTTTCTTAACATAATAGTGTTCTTAATATATCTTATTTATAAAAGCAATTAAAAGCTTTTCTAATTAAATAATATCATAGTTTTATTGCATTTTTTATTTTATGATTCAGAGCAGATTTTCGGTAAATAGTGTTTGTTTGGTGAAATAAGTTGAGGATTTAAATTCTCCAGGGAATCCTGATTTTAACTAATATAAATATGAAGAGGCTGAAATTTTAATTTCTCAAAATTTCATAAAATTAAGTTGGGGTAACAGGTGTTTTGTTTTTTGTTTTAAATTTCAAAAAAAAATTTCATTTGTGAATAAGTCCTGAAAATTTCATTAAAATCAAACAATTATTTCATTTTTGCAAGAATTTCTCAAACTGTATTTTTAACACCAAAAAAGACGCTAAAAATCCCTATACCAAGCTTTGGCTCATCTGCTGATAGAAGAAAAACAAGATTTTCAACTAAAATTTTGAATGTGTTAGAAAGGATTAAAAAAATTTAATAAAATAATCAAAAAATACTTTGATCTATCCTCTTAATAATAACATAAACATTTTGACAATAAAACTTTGTTTTTATTAAGTTTGGTGTCTTTTTTCATCATGGCATGCTCTTTTCTAGAATATCTTTGGAGGTACCTAAACAAAAAGCATTGGAGATATCTCCAAAATTATATCTTTTGCTTTAAATAAAGAATTGTCAATGAAAAGCTATGAAAACTTGTAAACTTTGAAGTGTGTGGTTATTAAAAATAAAAGTAGGTACAAATGTATACTTTCTGAACTTGTTATATTTGCTTACAATTGTATCCATTCTGAAAGTTTGTTTCAATGACTTTTCTTGGCAGTTTCTTTCATTGGCCTATATGCTGATCTGTTTAACTTGAATAGAATTCAGTAGATCTTGATGTCTACTCTGTTTTGTGTTTTTATTTGTTTGATCATTAATAACTGATTAGATTTGATATTTACATTATTTTTTAAATTTATATCATGAAAAAACAAAAAACACACCAATCTCACTTTTTTTTTTTTTTTTTTTTTTTCAATCTAAAAAATATCTCACCAAAAGGCATCTTTAATCATTTTTATATTAAATTATATAGAACATTTTTATATTAAATTATATAGAACATTACTGAGATGTTTCAATCTTAGTTACTTTATAGGTATGTATAATGTAACCATTTATATAGATAATCTTTTCTGAAGATATGATACCGATAATCTCTTCGTTCTAGTCTACTTGTGTATTACATGTGATAACATGACTTTCTACATTCAGTCAGATATGGGAAACTGCTTAATGGAATGTCATGAAATTTTCTATAAAATTTTCCCTGTAAATTGTTTGCTTGATTACAGACCTCTTTTCCATGATATTTGAAGGATTCATATGTATTTGAATGAATGCAAAATGAAATGACACAATCAATCTCTCATGATTTCCCAAGAAAATACAAAAACTAAACATTTAGTAGATTTTATTTTATATTTCAGAATTTCATTGAGAAAGTAAATAATATTCCTCTGCTTAAATGTAAATGTCTGAATAAATAAGTTTTATCATGGCCAATTATGAAAATTTCCTATTTGTTCATTGTATTTTCATTTCATCTTTTGTGTTCATTGCTTTTTGGAATGCATCTTTATCAGTATTTTATTATTCCATTTTTATATTTTAAACAGGATATTTTTAAATAGCAGTATTGTCTGTTTAAAGGTATATAGTAATTGTTAAAAGAAAAATAACTTTTTTTTTTTTTTTAAATAAGATTATACACAATTTTAAAAATATCACAGTTATACTTTTTTCCTGGTTATTTTCTGTAATATGATCAATTAACCAAAACATCTATTTTTTTGTTTAAATTTTTGTCTTTTTCTGTTGTATTTTTAAAAGTGACCTGCATTATACTTAACTGATTTTTCAGCTTTGATGATAAAAGTATGATTGTTTTTCTTTTTTTCTTCTAAACTGAAAAAGATTATTCATATTAACAAAGATTTCATTCACAATTCATTGAATTTGATAATATACTGAAGCATTTCTTCTGTCATCTTTTCTTGTAATCTCCTTGCAACTTTAATTAGAAATGTAATCTTCCCACTTTTCAGCAATTCTTCAGTTACTCGTAGATATTCTTATTAAAACATTTTGTTATCTTTACATATTAATTTATTATGCCTTACTGATGAAATCAAAAACTATAAAAGTGTGTCCTCTACAGCCAGTCAATTTTTATTAAAATTATTCCTAAAGTGAAATCCAAGAAAAATTGGAAATGCGACGGATGTTCATTTTCTTCTTCATTACTCAAATGTTTCTATAAAAATGAATTACTTGGCTTCCATCCTTTAATATGATCTCTTAAAGCCTTTTTTTTTTTTATAGTGAATTCCTTTCCAATTTTCTGTCTAAATTGAAAAAGTACCTTCAGTTTTATTTTAAATTTCTCTTTGTTTCTACATCACAGATCTACTCTGGTAATTTTTAATATTTGAACAAATCTTTAAATTTTTCTAATTTTTTTTTTTTTTTTTTTTCCAGCCAACCAAATGTCTTGGCAGCCAGGCACACCTTGAACCTCCAAAGCCTGTTCGACAACACTTGATCTCCCCACCGGCTTCTCCACCTGTGGGATGGGAACCCACCTTGGAGTCTGACCCTGTGATAAACTATGATCTGTTGGCAGCAGTGGCCAACCTCAGTCCAGGTTAGTGACATAATGCATAAGAATTTATGTGCTTTCATGGATGGGATCCTCAGTGACAATTCATATAGGACTAATTCTCTTTGCTTTGTCTTTTGTCTTACTAATCAGTAAACAATCTTGTTTAGTGATTTTAATAGAATGCAAAGAAATTTTACCCATAAAAATATAGTGTCTAATACTGAAAACAATTTTGCTTTTCATTTTTTCTTTGTGTAGTGTAGCCTCTCTAGGTGTCATTGTTAGATATGTCCTATTTCTCCTTCTTTCTACCAATGCATTTTTAATTATCTCTATAGAAACATTTTCTTATTTGTCACTTTAGCTTATAACATGTGCCAATAAAAAGTTGCTGTATAGGGAAAAGAGCCAACATGTTATTGTTCCTTCCATCAATTTAGTAATTTATCTTTCATAAGATTTGTGGCCTTGATAACTTAAGAATTGCCTAGACACTTCTATTTGATTATGCTTCATTAATTTCTATCAAGGAAGACAATTAAGTTTTCCTTCAAACACAAAGCATTTGATTACTAAATTAAAAAAAAAAAAATAACCCAACATAACAAATTTAAAGAAAGGAAGATTGTTTATATTGTTTCCTGGGAACAGATAAGAATTGACATCCTTCTCTATGTATTTGCATCTTTATAGAGGAGCAGGGAACACTTCCATTCAACCTGTATTGACTTGTCCTTTAACTGGTACTTCTAAAAATGTCTAAAATGTTTTCTTTCATGTAAATTCAGAGCAATTGACTTTTACTTCATTTCTCAGTGGAACAAAAGCAATTAAGAACATTTTTTTTTCCATAGTAACTTATATATATATATATATATATATATACACCCCGTTCAAACAAACTATCACCAATTGTTTTTTTATTCATAGATACAACATGGCTAGTTTTTACCCTAACATATTGACTAAATCTTTCAGCATCAACAGAAAACTTGTTCATTTGTCTAAAATAAAAAAAAAACTTTTAAAGAATCTGTTGTCACATTTTCAGCACTGACTATATACTATAAAAACTTTACTTTTTTCTGTATTGAATTTAAAATTAGCATTAATGCAATTGTTGAATCTTTCCAGGAGCAAATGTATCTGAAGTTGTGTTGAAACATTTATCTATGACTAAATTTATTGTTAATTTTCTATATGTGCAGGTGAGGCCCATGAACTTCATCCACCAACAGAGGACCAGCCAGGTATTGTCGTCCATATTTGCGAGGACCCAGAAGGATTCAGAAGTCCTGGCGCACCTAAGCCACGGATTGTTCAAACCAAGTGTCCTGACCGAGTGAATTGATTGGCCAATGAAGAATACCACCCCCCCCAACTCCATATCCCTCCTTCCACTCCCATTACCCACCAATTTTCTTAAAACAAGAGAAGAGATGGAGTTATGGAAGAGGAACCATTCCCAAAACACTGAATGGTTGAATTTGTGTGGAAGAAAAAAAAAATGAATGGGATTTTTGTGCAAAACTTTGGGTGATATTTTTGGATCTGGTACCTTCTTTCTGCTCCTTCCTCTTGGGTTATTTCCATTTCCCTGCTCCCTTCTCTCTATTTCCACTATTCATTTCTTCTCTAATTCTAACTCCCAGTCCTTCTCTGTCCCTATGGTACAACAATGGCTGATTGATGACAGAATTTCAAATAAAAATTTTTCATGCAGTAAATACACAAGAAAATACCAATAATAGACAAGTTGAATGAATGCACACAAATATTCAGTAAAGAGAAAATGTTTAAATGCTTATTAAAGACAGTTTGAAACCAGCCAACATTGCACAACAAACAGCGGAATTACAACTGTAGAATCTTTGCTTTTGTTTTTATTGTCTTGTTTTTTTTTTTTTTTTAACTTTGTTTCTTATGTCTGGTTGTGATAAAGGCCTCCTGCACACCGAGTATACAAGCTGTGACATTCACACTTAACATACATTGACAGTAGCCAAATATAAAACCACTGATATTCTTCAATTCTGTGGATATCACCACATTCATTGTTAACCTCTTTCCTGCTCTGTGCTTTTCAGCAAAAACTCAAAATCTGAATATTTTCCATTTTCAGAAGTAACCAGAAAAAGAAAAGAAAAATCAAATGGGAGATATTTTTTTTAAACAGATAATCAAGACCAAAATGTATTAGACTTAAACAGAAAAATGTCAAGAGAAAAAAAAAATGGATACAGAAAGACTCACCTTGAAATTGGTTTCACATTGATAGGACAATGAAATTATTATTGCTATAAATATCATTATATTATTGTTTTAATGTGTATTGTTATTTAAAAATATGAAAGTTTTTTTTTTTTTTTTTTTTTTTTTTTAAATATTTATTTTTATTTTTCTCCTTCCTCTCTCTTTTCTACCTCTGTATTTATGTTCTCTGGGTTGTGTGGATTTAAAAGTAAATTTAAATGGTTTGTTGACAAAGGGTCCAATCATTGGACAAAAAGACAAATTCCTGATGGAGTATATTCTGTATTCTCTACCCCACTCCCATCCTCAAAACTGTCACTCCAACTTTGACCCACTCTTTTCACTTAAAATTGGAATTTGTACTCCTCAGCAGAAAATATATTTAATTTGACTGTTTTATGGCACCTCATCTACTGGGTTGCCCATGAACACGCACACACCTAACTGTCAGAAGTTGGTACTATATTGCTTTTTTTTTTCCTTGATTACAAGAGGAAAAATTTAAGTAGAAAATATTTAAAGTAACTTTCTTCTTATTCCTCTCCTGGATGTGGATATTTCTTGATTAAATTTCCCATCAAAAATTCTTTTTGTTGTTGTTATTGTTGAATTTGATAGATTTAATTTATCAAATTAAAAAAATATCAGTATTACACATCTTTACAACAAAACAGATTTTTAATCAAATTCAAATTACATGATTAAGTATCCAAATTTTATTATCAGCTTTATTCATACATATCCCAACATTCAGAATGAAAATGTCTACCTTTTTTTCCTTCTTAGGAGAAAAGAAGTCACCAACTCTTTTGGGAGGAAGTAAAAATATTATCACTACTAAATAAATACAAGAGATATTCTGTTGCCCATGTCTAGCAATGAGAGAAAGAATTCCATTTGGGAATTTCAAACAGCTGAAGACCATAAAGCTGATTACTGTATTCATAACACAAATTTATCTCTTTCCCTTTTAAGGGAGTGTGATGGTTAACCTATTGAAATGTAAACAGTCACCCTCCCCCCATCAGTCATTTTTGGGTGACAGTTTTAAAAGGTAAACATAGTCAGAAACCTTAAGATTTTGTGAAAGTGACTGCACAGTATAGTAGGATGAGAAAAAAAAGCACCATGATGCAATTCACTCTGCTGGAAGCTCCAATACAAACATTTCAGAGTGTTTGGATGTAAATCTGAGAACTGCAGAGGATTTGAAAAGAGTTGGATGAGTCTAATGATTATGAAGGTATGACAGCTTGGAAAACTCACTCTGATAAAAACAAAAAAAAAAAAAAAAAACTTCTAAATTTGTTGGTGAGAGCCTGACTCAACACAGAGGCCTACATCAAGTGCCTTAGGGAGATGGCCCTGTGTTAAGAGTGTGGCTGCTGGAAGAATTTCTGCAACCACATCACCCCTTACATCTGGCCACCTTGCTTCCCAGACTGCAACCACCTTGATTATGTGTGGGGTGCAGTTGAGCAAGAGACCAACAAAACTACGTGTAACACCAAAGATGTATTGAAGGCAAGGATTATGGCAGTGTTTGCCAACATAAACAAGGAGACATTGCAGAAAAGGTGCAAGAGATTCCAAAGTTGTCTGGAGGCTATGGTTGAAGTCTAATGGTGATTTTTATTGAATAAAGTTACTCTTTAGTCTTTCAAGATATCTTTGTGTAAGTTTGGTAAATATATCTTTTAAAATAAAAGATGTCAGTGTTATTTTCATTTTTGCATAATTTAGACAATTTATTCATCGCACACTGTAGTAGTGATTTGGAATTGTTTGCATAAGATTTGACACACACCATTATCTATCTCAATGACATTTTGTAGTCTAATAACTCAATTCTCATTCAAATGATCTCAGTTTTTACACATTTTGTTAAAAGTTAAGTTGATTGTTCAGACTTATCTCCATGAGAATCTACCAGGAAGATTGATTGGGAGTGATAATGATAATGTGCTGTTGATTTAACACCGTGACTATATTTTTTCTTCTATGGACTATATGAAAAGACAAGGCCTATATCAAAATCTTCCTACAAGCCTAAGCAGCAAATCAATGAGGCTGCTGGAGAATGTTATGCAAAACCTGTTACTGCAGGAGTTGGACTACTGATGTGTCATGTCACAGGGTGTGCAGATTTAATATTTGTGAAGCTATGTGAAATTAGTTCTAAAATCTACCTTTTGAAAATCTTGTGTGAAATCTTAAATCTTTTTATTGTTTGACTTGTTGCCTATTTAATTTTGTTTGCAACTTTTTGGGGACACCAAAAACAGGGTTGGTTAAAACTTGAACTAAAAGTTGAGGACCAAATTTATTCCTTTATTACATTATTCAATAGAATGTCTAAAAAATCCAAATAGTATTCTTTGTGCTATGTCCACTCAGAATGTAGGTGATCATGGCTAATTTCCCATCTTTTGTAGCTCTTAACAAATTTTGTCTCTTACTTTTCCTAAACCGTTTTGCCATCCATTTCTGTTCAAAGGGCAATAACTGCTCAGGGTAATCATGAGGAACAAAATAAGGAAATATTTGTTTAAAATAATCCAACTAAGGATTCAAAATAACTTTAGGTTTAGTACTAGGCTATAATCAATGAAAAGCAAGTCTTACTAATGGTTTACTTGTAGAATTTAATTATATAGATGTACAAATGGTTTAATGGATAAAGACTCAAATTGTCAAGTTCAAATTTCCTGTTGAGATACTTTCACTCAGATATCCTTGGGAAAGCTATGGGTTAAATAGTTGAGTAGACTAGATTCTCTAATTGTGATTAACAACCAGTATGGAACTATTTTGAATTCAAAATTGGATGTGCAGATGGTATATTAAAAAAAAACCTGGCTACGTGTTTCCATGAGAAATCAGATTTGCAGTGTACCTTCAACAAATGGCTCTAATAATGAACATCATTAATATATTATCAGTCATGCTAGCAAGTTTCTTCATCAGATACTCATTACTGTAGCCTTGTGTCAGCCTAGTCTAAATAACTTCTATACTCAAGTCTTATACAATGTTTAACATAAGAATTTGACATTAACTCTTAACAGAAAAGTGAAAGACCAACTAAATAGAGTTGGTCATTACTTTAATCCTAAATAAACTTATTTGTTTGTAAACTTGCTAAATGTAGAATTCATTGCAACCACAGAATTTTTTCCCCAAAATTAATTAGCTATACAACTTAACTCAGCACAAAATTATAAAAACAACAATAGGCATCTTCCAAATGTTTGATATTCTAACTAGTCATGAGCACGTTAAGATTCTCTAATTTAAATTTCTAGTAGTGAAAGGCTCTTACTTAGTTGTAATTAAGTCACAAACAGAAAAACTTGTATGGTAAATTTTGGAATAAATGAATTTCCACTATTGGATTTTGAAGCAACGTTCAAACGATGTGTTCACATAACTTATAATTCAAAGTAAAGATTAAAACAAATATGAATATTAGTTATATATTTGTAAAACCTATAATTGTACAGCATAACAGCAGGTTTTACATTGACTAAGTAGTTTATCCTGAAAAGAAAGATTACAGAATAAATAAGATATGCATGTGTGTACATATATATATAATTTTATTTTTTTTGTGAAGGGGAATAAAAACGAGTATGCAGTATACACTTCTTTTCCTTTATAGATACATCACATTTTTTTTTTTTTTTATTATACACAAAATACTTTACATATGTATGTACAGCAGCACTTGCTAGTCACTTTGATAAAAGTTGACTAGAACAGGCAAAAAGAAAAAAAAGGCCCACCTTCATTACTGTCAGATGGTTTGCTGATTATGTTGTCTTTCTAAGGCAACAAAACAACAACTGTTCAGTTTACTTTTTTCCCCTCCTAAGTACATTAACAGTAACAACTACAGATTGTAGAAATAATATTTGTATTCAAGTTAGTATACAAAAAAAATTTCTTCAAGATTCACTTAGAACCGGCCATGGCAGTTCTAAGGAGACTCTTCCAGTTTCACCATACTTCATATTTTAATAACTTTTCAAAAAAAAATTCAAATTCTTAGATTTTAATCCCAATAATAATTTGAATACTTTTGGTGTAAAAATTTTAAACATCATCTGGAAGTCATTTATCCAAAACTTCATTATCTTTTCTAAAATTAATCTTTTATAAAGTAATTTTCTTAGATCATTAAGAGTGCAGATAGGAAGTGATAAAATTAATAAAACTAAGAAATGTAATATTTGAGGCAACACTGGCATTCATTAGCTTATCCAACTAAACATCATTCTAGTGTTAAGTCAACTTTAAACATCACTAAGTTATTAAACTTTAAATATTGGTTGACTAAAAAAAAAAAATACAAATCAAGGATTAAAATATACTATTTAAAAATAAAAAGAATAGTCACTGATTGAAACATTTCTCAGCAAGAATTCTTAAAAGTTTAACTCATCACAAATCCCTTTTCACTTTCAAGCAATAATTTTTCTTCTCTAAAAAGAAAAACAACAATTAAACACCCATACCCAGATACCTTTGATTAATACTGATAATATAAAATAAAAACTGGACAAGCAGCCAGATCAGTATAAAAGAAATGTTAAAGCAAACCACTTCTTTTGTATTTAGGCTTTTTTCTGTTGTCACTGATATTTTCAGTGAAGGCAAAACAAAGATAGTGACATAAAAATAATGCCAAGTCAAAGTTAATTCTGAAGATTTTTTTTTTTTTTCTTCCAAGATTTTATAACTTTATATATTCACTTCAAGAATATGAAAATCGAGAGCTGAGATTTAAATCACAGACACAGCAATTTATAAAGTAACTTCCCCAACAAGTTCTCTACAGAAGCAAAACAATGACGTCATAGCAAAAATTGACTTGTAGCAATTTACCAAGTTGGGTTGATAAAGGGAGGTAATTCATGATGGTGGTAACAGGTTAGCAGTAAATAATGCATAGATTCATCTAAGTTCAAAAATTATAACAGTAAGAATTCCGGAGTCTAGTAATCAGAAGGAACTGAGAAATATTAAATTATTCTTTTTAAATGAAAATTTACGTACTATATATAAAATATGAAAGATAAAAATTAAGATACTGCTTACCACCCCTTCCCCCCTCCCCTAAAAAAAAAAAAAGCTTTTTTTTTTAAATTCCACTCTGAGAGCATCTAATACTTTCAGGTCAGGAGATTTAGCTAATGCTAATTTCTTGTATGTGGTCTGTTCCAAATAAAATCTAATATTCTGTTTAGAGAAATTTTGAAAAATTGAATGAATTTCAATGCATATCTTGCATATATTTATCGTTTATCTTTAAATTTAAGATGTAAAAATTTAAACATTAGCCACAAAATTAAATTTTTTTCAGGAAAACTGATTAAGGTTTCTAAATTTCTTGTATTAAAATTATTTAATATTACATTAAATCAGAAAAAAAAAAAAAAATCATTTTTTACTTTATAAATAGAGCAAGTATTTAGATGCAGATACATATAACACAGCTATTATTTAAGGTTCTCAAAACATTATCTAGTTCATTGAAAACCAGAATTATGTAGCACCATAAAATGACTTCATTTCTTGAACATTTTCGTCTTGTAGACAAATTACGGTAATTTACTTTCATTCATATCACTGCAGTTTTAAGAGCCAATGGAACACAACTTACAAGTTGATAAAATTATGATTATTGGAATTTCTAATATTTTGAATCACTGTTTGATTATTTAAATTAAGCAACATTCAACCAAGACAATATTAAGCGAGTAACTCTTTAAAAGTTCAGAAGCTGTTTAAAAGAAAAAAAGGCTTTTCCTGTTAAAGTAATTTAATTTTCCATTCCCTCCACCCCACCAATATAAATACCTCAATCAAAATTTGCTTTGATAGAATCTAAAAACTAAAATTTGCATTTCTCCAAAGTGATTTATTTATTTATTTTCTTTCAGGTCATACAAACACATGATAAGGAACCAAACTGGAGAAAGGCAACCCAAACTAAATTGGGTGATATTGAAGAAGCTTAACTCTGGCACATGTAAGTGAAAGTACAAAAAAAGCCAGAAAAGGAAAAAGAAAACGGCAAATTAAGCCCAAAACTAAAATAAATTCAATATTTGGAATATATATCAAATGTGTACAGAAGTTCCTAGAATTTTTTGAAAGACTGAATATGGGATTTAAATTTTTGGCTGAAAAATTTTATACACCACTAATATTTAGGTTGCTTTTTAGCTTCCAGAAACTATACAGACCAGAAAGATAACTCACTCGTAGCCTTTTATTTTGGGTATGGGTCCAGTTAAAATTCACATGGTCAAAGATTATGTAGATAAAAGAAAACAGTACAAAGTTCACAACATGCCCATTGCTAAATCATGAACCATTTGTTTGGCAATAAAGTGGAGCTTGCTTAGTATCTAGATCCTTTCAACCAAGTTAAATGCCATTTTTTTGAAGATCAAAACATTTACAAGCTAGGCCAATATTCAGATTAAGTTTGACTACTGGTCTCCAAATCATGCTTGCTCAATAGGATATCCTCTGCTCAAGAAACTACCTATTGCAAGCTGAGTGAAATTTGACTACTGAGAAATCCGTAATAAAAACAAAATTACTTGCTATGGTTCAATTAGAATAAGTCATGTTTTAATCACTGGTGGCACTTTAGGTATAATAATAATAAAAAATATTCAACTTTAAAGGGGGTTTTTACCTTGAAATTGGTAGTTTGCTATTTTATTTACTGGCCTAAACAATATAATTACAATGGGAATCATGGCAAAGAAAACAATATGAAGATGATAGAGCACATTTCCAACAAGAGATGGAAAAGTGCAAAGTTGTGAGGAGGAGGAATTAAATGAATGAAATAATAGACTTAAAATGACAAACTTGATAATGTAAAATGAAAAATCCTCAGGAAATCAAGAGAAAGAGGAAATGAAAAGAAGGTGAATTATGAAGCCTTACCAGATGGCATTTGGTACAATCATATGTTAACTCCCACCCAATGGTTACAGCTCCCCCAACCCCCTGGTAACATCTCACAGCAATTCCACTTTTTAAAAATCTATAGTCAAGAAAGACGAGAGCAGAAAGGTGGAGAATGTCTCTGTACAAAGAAATTACTTGAATAATGACAGACAGCAGGTGATGAGTGGCTCCCATTTTATCCCATATCCTGACAAGGAGAAGAAATACTATTAAATCTTTCTCTTCACAAGTAATAATTATGCAGTCCTGATGTTGAGGGTTCACAATTTTCAGGCAAAATCTCAATGCTACTGTCATCAGGACTGGTTCGCCCCGTACCACTGCCTGAACTTGGTGCACTATGAGTTCCATTCTCTCTCAAATGGGAAGGAAGTGGTGGTGCCATGGCACCAGAGGGCGTTGTGTTGCTTGAACTGCTGCTGGAACTGGAAGGTGAAGATGTGCAGTTCATTTCCAACATTTCCTTTATTGGTTGAGGAATTTTCTTGCTCTTTTTCAGTTGTAAGTAGATGCCTTCAGCTTTGTTCAACATTTGATCCACGTTTATGGTAAAACACATGTCATTGATGTGCTGTAGAGAGAGAAAAAAAAAAATTTACAACGCTAAGTAAAAAAAATCCAAACTTCATGGTTACACACACACAGAAAAGTGCCAGCATAAAAACTATTATAGCTTTTTATCAGAAAGTGAATAGACAAAATTTATAAAAAGCTGTCTTTTTATTTATCTAACACCCTTTAGAATAACCATAATTTTTGGATGGCTTCTTGATTAGGCAAAGAACATTTTACCAAGGCAAATTGAAGAGAAGTATATACAGTAATAAGAATGCTGTGCAATGAAAAAAAAAAAAATAACAATTAACTAATTTAAAGTATTTCTATTTCACTGGGAAATTCAAATACCAATTACTTTTTGTACTAAACTAATCTAATGATAAGCTGAATGACTTCAATGAAAGTGATTATAAAATTTAAATTTCCAAGATTGTGATTATTGAATGACTCACTTTCAATATTTCAGTAAAACCAAACCGGTTCTCCATTAAAGTTGCTCTTTCTGTGTCCAAAATAGCAAGACAAATAAGCAAATGATAATTCTTGCATGGTTTGTCAGTCCATAAGACCTGAAAAAAGAAATAACAGTGTTAAAAAAAAAAAAGAAAAAAAAAAAAAAAAGAAGTCCAGCCAGAGATATAACATAGAACCCAATCATATCAATTATTAGGTGATTGATAGGCAGTGAGATCATTTACAAGAATTACCTTTTTTTTGTCAAAGCAAAAAGGAAACATTCTTACATCATAGCTTGTTGCAGAAACTTAAGTTGTTAAATTTAAATTTATAAATTAGATTCACACTACAAATCTGTCGAGTCTTATTCTAAAAGGTCTTATTTTTTTTACTTTTGAAAAGAAATTCAAAATACAGATAAATTATTTCAAATACAAGTTTTAAAATTTTGGTAAGAGGTCAAAAGTATTACAATTTTTTAAATTGTCTTATCAAGACTAGGTACATATTTAAACAAACATTTCCAATTATACAAAGCATTATTATAATTCTGCTTAGCACAACCATTATGCTCTACTTTATAAATAAATTCTACTTTATAAATTATTCCGTTTTCATCACATGGATAGACAAAAGACACATGAAAGGTGCTACTTGGTTTCAGTGAGAAAAACAAAAAAAAGAGATGGAAAGATTGAAGTATTTAATGGTTGTTCCAATAAAATGGAAAAAAGTTGTTGATTTCAAAATCTTTTCATTTGTACCCCCTTCTTAAAATAACAACCAGCATTCATAGTTATGACTTATTGCAATATTTTGTTAAAGTTGTCAAGCACAAATGACAATAAGGAAATTTCTATGGATATTTTGACATAGAACTCGCCACAAGCTAATTCAATCATTAACTTAAAAATTAAGATTCATCAGAAATTTAAAATAGGAAAACAGTGAAATTTTCACGAGTATTTAAAGTCATTGTTAATAATGACCATAAAGTATTAAAATCCAAGTGCCTTTTTAAGCTAATATTTTTTATTCATTAACACAAAATTGACAGGATGATTTTCTAGATAGTTATAAGGCTTATGGAGAGAAAAAAAAAAAAAAAAAAAAAAAACTTACCTCCCATAATCTTTGAATATCTGGGAAACTAAATTCTCGTTTGAATACAATTAGAAGCCATCTAAAGCAGAAATAAAAGTTTCCAGAATCATGGCTCTCTGAAATTTAAAAGATAATCCAAGTCATTTTCCAAATAATAAAGGAAGAAAAAGAAATATTTTGAGTTCTCATTATTATGAAGGAATAAAGCAACCTACATAAACACCAAGAACAATATTATATCACTAGTCATAACTTTGCATATAGTGACTGACAGTTTAGTGATCAGGCACAATTTTTTTTTTTTTTTTGGTAAGTTTGCTAGTTTGCATATAAGCTGTCACACATCCAGATCAAATTTATAAAGAAACTCACAAAATTTATATTTTGTTCAAGTACTTTCAACTATTAAGTCATCACCAATAACATTAATTTTCTAATTTCTAGTTGAGAAAAGTTTTCATGAATTCCATTTTATTTTATTTGTTTTTAGAAATTATATAAAAAATAGATGGATAACTATATAGAAAAACTAAAACCTTTTCAAAACAACACAAAATGATGCTGAGTTGTCACTTCTGTAATGCAAGTAGTGACTTCAGCATTCAGAGTCAGCATGAGTAACTTAACTGTCAAGTCTATTCCAAACCAACAAGAAATGTCTTCAAAGAGAATGTTCAGTTGTTCTTGCAATAATTTGTGATCGTTTCAATTTCATAACTTTAAATGTCAAATTTATGAATCATGTTATATAAAGAAATTTGTTGGAGCTAGCTTAAACAAATTCAACAAGGTTTCCTTCATCATTCTGATGAGTCAAACAGAAATCTTTAAAATCTCTAATGATTTTAATTTACTATTTTTCAAGGTATATAGTTGTTACTTCATAACTAAAATCTACTTAAAAATTTTATGCTTCATGATAATATGAACAGAATAATGAGGCCCATTTGTGCACATTGAAATGAACAAATTGAAACAAAGCCTGAACAGTGAAGTTATATAAAGAATTTTCTGTTTTCATTCTTATAATTTGTCAGTCAGTAATGTTTTGTGTGAATAAGAAATGTATGGTAGTTTTAACATTATTTCCTAAAGGTTAAAAAAAAAAAAAAAAGATACTGTGTAACTTGTAACAATATAAATTATGATTTTACTAACATTTACTTCATTAAAATATTTCCATTTTAAAATGGACTAAAATATTACTTACATCCCATTAATAAATTTTCTTTGAATATTTTCGGCAAAGCTAAACTTAAGCTAGCTAGTTCAAATTATTTATTCACAAAATAATCTTTAAATAATTTAAAATATTTAAAAAAAATTCATTATTAAACAATAAAATAAAAAATCCAGTGACATATATCCTTATGTAATATACAGATCCTCTGACACAAATACCCTAATATTTGATTGCAAATTCTGAGTAATTGACCTCAGGTATAATAACAATGACTTTTAAAAAAGTGCAAGTTAAGCAATGCCATTTTATAGTTTCTTCATAAACAGGATATCTTGTCCATTTCCAAAAGTATTAATTTTCTTAAATACTGTTGTTTCTCAATACAGAGCCCAAGAGCCACTCAAGATAGAGTGTTACTGAACAAGGTTGTTGCAAGGATACATAATGAGGAAGTAAGAGGACCATATGAGGATATGTCAGATAAGAGTTAATCCTTGACATGAAAAGGTTAAGATTATAGTGATCAGGGAAGCATCCATTCAAGAGTCTGTTCTACAAAATAGCAGTTCTTAGGCAGAAGGAGCTTTTTGAGTGGAACATCCTCTTTACCAGTGGAATATGGAGAAAATGTAGAGTACACAGCATGGTGGGTCCTAGCTGTGAAGATCTGGACTGCTGAAACTAAGCAATGTGACTCATCTGAATTTGAAAATAGTGATAGAGTAGTGAGAGTTTAGCAACGATGTCTGTTAGAAACAGGCTATGGGGTGGAAAATAATTCAAAGAAATAAATGTATTTTCTAAGTCCCCACTACACTAAATTATAGTTATCACAGCTCAATGTTAAATTTTAATTGTTAAACTGATGTAAAGAAATTATCATGTAAGATAACCAATATGTTTAAGATAAAATCATTAAAAAATGATTTTTAATTGAAAAATCATTTGCTCAGTTTCATTTAAGTTAAATGTTAAGTCAGCAGAAAAAAAAAAGGGAGCAGGGTGTCAGATAAGTTCTCATTATGCTCATCAACATGTCTTGGGAAAATATTTTTTCATGTGTCAGATTAGTTCAGTAGATAACGTTCTTTATAATGGCTATCATATATTTTTGAGGACTTTCAATTTGACAAGGGAAAAAGAAAAAAATCAGTTGCTATTAATGAATTCATAAAAGGTGCAGTTTTCCTCAAAGCTTTCTTTTCAGTTGTTTGTTTTTGTTATTCTAATTATTTTTGCCGATATATTATCAGCAAATTTCAAAGATTATATTTTAATATATCTTGGTATAAACAAAAATGTCAATTTATTATATTGTAAACACGTGCATCTTTTATTTATATATATATATATATATATATGTTATTTTTAATTCAACATTTTTTTTTTTTTTTTTTTACTTCAAATATTAGTGCATTTGATATTTGAATAGATGTGCAGTATTTGTCTACCATCCTGCACACTCAAAACTTCTGCTGGAGGCAACATTTCCTTTAATGTTTTCTCAAGTGTGCAGGTCAATAGATAAAATAAATACTGATTTAAATAAAAGAGCTTATAGAAGCATGCTTGATTGCAAAGTTCTTCATAGCCGAGCAGTCAAAGCATGCCAGACCAGATATATATATATATATATCTCAATGATTCAAATAAATACTTACAATTTATTATAAAAATTTAAAAACATCTCAAAAATCCCATGTAATGTTTATGAATTCTCATGTCTTTTGAGAGATTGCTTGTCCAACATACAATTCTCATACTTATCACAACTATCACTAGGTTAACATGTCACTTATGAAATCTTATTGCAATTCATAACCACATCACTCTAAACTACTATTTTGCAAATACTAGTATATAACAGTAAAATAATATATATAGGACTAACTGTAAAGAAAGACTCAAAATATTTTAAAATATGTTAAACAAGTAAAATAATTCACATTAAATACCAACATATTTCACAATAGAGGAAAGAATTTTAAAATGTGCGTAAAATATCTTAGTGTTGGGAAAAAACTCCTCTTGTAATTCATTCTTTATAATAACTAGTGATGTGTTTGAATGTACGAAAACATCAAACTTTGGACAGTTGCTTTATAAATTTGATTTGATATGCAACAGCTTATACACAAATTAGAAAAAAAAAAAAAAAATTACACACAGACCTTGTTGATTAATTTCAATAAGACATTGTGTTTGAATTCTTGTTGCGTAGGCACTCTAGAAATTTAAGAAAATTCAATTTGTTGAAAGGTTGAGAAATTAGAAAATCTATTTACCAAGATAGCTACAAAGTTCTGGATCCACAAAATGCATCAATGTGTGCATCTGTGCTAACTGTGTCTTCATACCCTGCTGGTCCATCTCAAAGTTTGAACTCTAGAAGAAAAAAAAAAAAAAAATTCTTGATAGAATTGTTTATAACAGACATCTCAAATAGTCATAACTAAAATCAATGTATGTCAATAGCAACAGATGTGATAAAAGTAATTTTTATTCTGGCCAGTTCAACTGAAACCAAAATTAAAATATTTTCACTTAAATGCTGTTTTTCCTTCTCTAAGAATTTCGAACTGTTACAAGTCTGTATTGTATTTTTGCATTTCAACTGTAAATGTAAATTTTCAGTATTTGTAGGAATGGTGCTTTGTTTTCAGAAGTCAAAATTGGTTCTTTGTTTTCAAATAAAGATAAAATACCAACTGATTGTATAACACATCTAAATTTTAATGCACTAATGATAAGGTTAGTTATATTGGTGAGGCATCTTGTCATTTTCACAAATGTGAAATGGAACATTTTCTTGTGGATAAAAGGTTGTCAAATAACAAACAAAAATATAATTTTAATTTTTTCTCTCTCATCAAAAGAGAGCATTTGTATGCACATGCAAGAAAGAGAGGAATAGTGTGTGTGTGTGTGTGTGTGTGTGTATATATATGTATGTGTGTGTGCACACACAAGAAATAACACAACAAAACCAATATCAACTCACCACTTTCTCCATAAACCCAGCAAAGCACCAGAAGGCATCTACTTCGTTTTCCATAATAACCAAAATTGGAGAGAGCAGATCACTCATTCCTTGGACATAACCTGATAAAAGAGAGCATTAAGAATTATATTTATTTAATCTCCAGATGTCAAGTTGGTTTTGTGCAAAATACTCAGATTTTTTTTTTTTTTTTTTTAACAATTTCGTCAGGACTTCAAGGAATCTGTGGCACCATGACACAATGCCCGTATTCAATGCCATGGTACCCTTAAAAAACAAGCCACATCCATGGCAAATTTTGCTTTCACCTTTTTTTTTTTTTGAATTAACAAAAAACATTACGTTTTTCTTAATAAGGTTGTTGTGGGGATTTTGCAAAAAAAAAAAAAATTGACTAGAGTCCTATGCAGATATATTTTCATTGGGAGAGAAAAAAAGTGTAGATGAAAGGAATTTCAATAAATGTTACCAATCTTGCAATATTTATGTCCACCAGAAATGAAATAATCATCTTATACACACACATTACATAGTAATAATACATTTCATTTTTAAACAACAATACTTAAAAAGTCTGGTCCCCTCAAAAAGGAAAGAAAACTACATGCATGTCAAAAAGTCAGGGGGTCAGTTTGAGGTTGTATTTTTATTGTGAACAGGATCCCCCAATCTAAAATAGAAAATTAATGTTTTTTGATTTTGACAAATTGCTTGAGTAAAGGAAGTTCTGAATGCAAGGCAACAAAAATTAGTTGTGAAAATATTTTTATCTATAAGAAATTACTAATTAATATTCATGTCGGAAAGTAAAGGATCATTTTGACAATTACTATACATATTTTTGTTTCAAAAGTTATTTTGATTTTATTCTGAAAAAGCTTTATATTTTCATACAATAATACAACAATCTTGTACAACATATTCTAAGTTAATATTGTATTGTCTGATTTGTTTTTTGAAATATTTCACCGCAATGTATTATTGCTAATACTTCTAGTCATTATATATTGTCAATAAAAATATTTGATTTTAAAGCCTTTTGTTTATTTTTATCAATTTTCTTTTAAAAAAAAAAAAAAAAAAAAAAAATTTTACATTAATATTACTTTTTACAAATAAAAAAAAAAAAAAGATTTTGCAAATACTAAAAAATTGGGTCAGTGCCCTCATTTTTAAGGGTTCTATCAAGGCAATTTTTGCCTGCCACTATCTTAGCTAAACTCATTCCTGTATAAGAGTAAACAAAAAGAGGTAGATTTCAGGTGCTTCTAGTTGATTACATTACAGGTGTTAACACTGTATTGGAAAAGTGCCACACAACTGCAGGTGCATTCAAGCATTTTCAAACTTTAAGCGTGTGAATTTTCGGCCTTAAATGATTAGAGATAGCAAGAAAAATGTCAAACTTTAGCTCTACTTTGCTTATTACAATTAAGGAAATGTAGTCAGCTGATTACTTACTGAGATCAAAGTTAAACATGCAATAGGTTCTGAGAATGTCATTGAGTACTTGAAGATTGTGATTGCCTTCCCCTTCAAAGAACTTGTGGGTACGGTCTGTTCGGGAAACATCTTTTTCTGTGAAACAAGAGAAAAATTATCAATGTAATTGTACAAACTAAGTTAATTATGTACTTGTAAATTTAATTAGACAAGAATTTCTATAAATAAAATCTTGCTTGTACTTACCTATAAGAGCTTTGCTGTCTCTTAACAAGGTGAATCGCTTTTCCTGTTCTTCGCTAATCGTTTTCCACTGTAGTTTCATTTTGAAGTAATCATCCCTAGAATAAAGATTTTAAGTTTTTATAATTTTTTTTCAGTATTTCTCCCCACTTACAAAATCTTAAATGATGATAATTTAAGATAAGGTCTTCAATAATTTATTAAACTACTAGCAGTAGAGCCTGGCATTGCCCGGGAATGTAACAGTAAGAGATAGATCAAGTATCGACCATCATAAAGACTGAAAAATAAAATTTACAAAGATTATTGTTTAAGGTTGACGGACACGCATGTCTTAATTAGTTTTTTTTCCTTTTCTTTACAAATTGGTCAAACACAAACTCAAAGAAAACCATTGTTTTCAATCGTTATGAGTCTACCGATTGAATAGAATTTTATTATAAACAATTGTCTTGTAAATGGAATAATTTTAAGCATTCTGAATGTAAATAAAGAACTACCAAAAAAAAAAAAAAGTGAAGTTTTATTGAAATTGGTTGAAAAATGTAGGAAATCCGATCCCATTTATAAACGAACACACACACACAAACAAACAAACAACCTGGGTTTTATAATAAGTAAAACTCGATATGAGTTGTCCCCCTTTCATTCTTGTGATGCCTCTTAATCGTGTTTTCAAATTGATTTCGTGCAAAAACAATTGTGTTTTTCCAATTTTTGGTGCTGTCAGAACCACCGCAAGGTAATTTTATGTAGTCCTGTGAAGTTTTGTTGAAATCGGTTGAAAAATGTAGAAAATCCGATCCAATATATAAATGTACAGACACACACACACACAACCTGGGTTTTATAATAAGTATGATGAGGCAAAAAGTCTGCTTCAAATGTCAGGTGTAATTTATAAAAAGCAAAATGTTAAATTTACCTAGAGTAATTTGTTAAAATATATTTCTAAGTTGATTTATTTTATGTTAATTCTCTTCAGTACAAAGAATAATAGCTCTCCACAGCTTCTTTGAAAATGATAGCGGAGTGTTTTCCTTGTTGCCTTCTGTCTAATTTTGAATTCAGAGTTGACTTTCTCCTTGAGTGACTGCCACCCAAAGATCATCCAATCTACTGTTATTTAACCAATGTTTGGGATGGAGAAAATATGGATTCATGCCTTTTCCAAGAGCAGACTTGGATGGAATTTGAACTCTACTCACTAATTTTGCACTGATATCAAGTGCATCTGTTTCTTCAACACATTCTAAAAACACTAAAACCAAAACAAGTTGTGACATTGCATTAAAACTAATCTCCAAACCTACAATCAGATGCTTTTACCATTTGAATCTTTTCAGAAAATTTATTTCCAAGTTCTACTTGTTCTTGCCTAACTCAAAATTTTAATTTGTGAGCTATCTACACAATTTAACCCCAGATATGTATTCTGGTAGGATATAAGGAATATGATAGAGGCATGAATACCTATTTTTTATAGTTTCCACTGAAACTGAATAGAATCAAAGCAATATTGTAAATATAACTGATCATCAGCAATGTCTCTGCCTCTTTCGCATTACCAACTGCTAGTGTTGTCAAAGAGTCACTAGTGGAAATTTGTTTATTTCCTCCACTTCCAATTTGGCAGAGTCAAGAATAACCTTCAAGGTCTCAAAGGCATTAATAAGAACATGATAGGTTATCTGAGAAAGAAAGAGAATACATTTACAAAGCATTCTGTTGCTACTACTACTGCAAAGAAGCCATCATGTCAATCTGGCTGATTTAGTAGCAGTTATCTCTTCTATGACAGATTGGCATTAGATTCAGTTGTAAGCAATCACCTTTACCTGACTTGATCTAGCTGGTGAATCAGGAAAAGATTGACAGACAATATTGTTATTACTAGAACATTCATTAAACTGTACCAGCATTCAGAATGCCAATATCACTTGAATCCCTAAGAAAAAAAAAAAAAAAAAGACCATTTGTTTTCAGTCAGCCTCAAATGGTCAAGGTATAGAAACATTTTAAGTAAAAGGCCAAGAAAGTTACAAAGTTTTTCCCTTCCATAATACCGCTCCTCTCCCATGATTTTCAATGTAAAAATGTGCTGCTCCCAATGGAGTGACGAGCTTTAGAAAACAAGCCGACAGTCCTGATCCTTAATTGCACCATGAGTAGGCCTGTGGTATAAAACACCATGTCTTCCCAGCAAACACATTAGGATTGATGGGAAAACACCATGTCTTCCCAGCAAACACATTAGGATTGATGGGAAAACACCATGTCTTCCCAGCAAACACATTAGGATTGATGGGAAAACACCATGTCTTCCCAGCAAACACATTAGGATTGATGGGAAAACACCATGTCTTCCCAGCAAACACATTAGGATTGATGGGGAAAACACCATGTCTTCCCAGCAAAACACATTAGGATTGATGGAAAACACCATGTCTTCCCAGCAAACACATTAGGATTGATGGGAAAAACACCATCTTCTTCCCAGCAAACACATTAGGATTGATGGGAAAACACCATGTCTTCCCAGCAAACACATTAGGATTGATGGGAAAACACCATGTCTTCCCAGCAAACACATTAGGATTGATGGGAAAACACCATGTCTTCCCAGCAAACACATTGGGATTGATGGGGGAAACATTCTCATATCACTTACACTTTTTTCTTTCTTTCTTCTGATCTGCTTTTGTGTGTAGAATCCCATTTGTAGTAACCAAGGAGGAATTTCCATACTTCTACACGTATTGAAGGTTCAATCAAAAAAAAAAGAGAAATTGTAAAGAATTATTAATCTTTCTTTGAGATGGTTGACAATCTTTCAGTGGGAAAATTATTCTCGCAATAATTTGTAATAAATGGAGAGACCTCAAAGCAGCAAGCAGGATGAGGAGGATTAAAACTGGACTTTGCCTATTTTGTAATCTCATCTCTGTGTGTCATCTGTCTGTGTATTGGCTGGGTTATACAGAATGCGATGGATAGATTGTCGTCGAAATTATAAAAAACAGAAAATAACACCGACATCTCATTTTAACAGGTATATTTACCAAAATTACACAAAAATATCTTGAAATACTAAAGAGTAAATTTATTCAATAAAATGGCCATTGGCTTCAACTACAGCTCCCAGAAGACTTCAGAATCTCCTGCAACTCTTCTGGATGGTCTCCTTGTTTAAGTTGGTGAATGCTGCCATAATCCTTGCCTTCAGTTTATCTTTATTGGTGTTATAAGGAGTTTTATTGTTCTCTTGCTCAACTGTGTCCCAACATACAATAAGGGGCCTGCAGTCTGAAGAGTTAGGTGGCCAGATGTAAGGGTTGATGTGGAAATTGTCTGACAGCCATGACTGGGTTCTCCTGTTTGTGTGGCATGGTGCAGGGTCCTGTTGTTAGACATAGGGTCTTCTAACAACCATCCTATTGACCCAAAGCAGCACTTGATGTAGTCCTCCATGTTGAATCTGAGCTCCTCACCAACAAATTTGGTAGTTCATTTATAAGAACCAACAGAGTTAGTTTTACGAGCTGCTGTACCTTCATAATCACCATTAGACTCATCCAACTCTTTCCAAATCCTCTGCACTGTCCTTAGATTGACATCTAAACACTCTGAAATGCACAAAGGCCAAGCAGTAGATCATACATTTTTCAAATTTCTGGCAGAGTGAATTGCATCATGATGCTCTTTTTCTCAAAGATGGTGCCCAACTGACCCTACTATACTGTGCAGTAGAGAAAATCAAAAACAATATGCATGCACAAAATTAAAAATATAAAATTATGACAATTTTCCCAATGCACATTGTACAAGAATTTCACAAAGCCCTGGCAATGATTTATTGCATGTTTTTCAATATCATGACCTTTCTTTGTTTTAAAACCAGGTGTCTGTTGTGGAATACTTCATTCCAAAAGCCCCTACATTGGAATTGGTAAGCTATAAATGTCTTTGGTGTTTGATAGTATTTTAAATAAATATAGCAAGAATTCTTTTTTGAAATCTTGGAAATTTCAGAAGACCATAAATCTTGTCATACTGCCCCAGAGACTGGGGAAGATCTATACCATTTCAAGTTCAATTTGGGACTGATCAAAATCATGTTGGGACTAAGCAAGTTCATAATGAAATAGCCAAGTTCAAAATGGAACTAAGCAGATTCAAAATGGAATAAGCAAATAAAAAAATTAAATATTTTCATGATAAAATAATAATGTTCAACTTTACTATTGAAAGGTTTTATCTTCTAAGAGCAATCAATAAATCAAGAAAATTGAAATGAATGTTTTTTTTGGATGCAACTTTCAGCACTTGAAATCTCTCACTGTAAGTGCCAGAAACTAACTTTGACACAAATTTATCCATTCAAGAATAGCCTCTTGTAAGAAATTGATAGTAAAATCTATGTAATACTGTGCTTTGATTTTTAATTATCTGATTTACCACCCACTTGATTTTTTAATCCATGATATTTGTTTATTGAAACACACAAATAAGTTTGAAACATTTTTCTTTCTATCATTGTAACTTATAAAAAATGAATACATCCAACAGTTTGAAATATGAATAGCTTTGTAAAAATGGCATAATTGATATAAGTTTCAACCTCCGACGTCAAAAGTTCTGATATATACCAGAGTGTGATACAGTTATGTTTTGTCTTGTTAGAGCTTTGTTAAAGATTCATAGAAACCATTTTCTGAAGGTCCTTTTCATGTATAAGCAACACGTTTTTGATATAAAGAAACATTAATACATATGCACATATGTATTTATGCATATATATTTCTTTTAGTTTCAAATTGATTTTTTAATATCTAAAAATAATTAAAAAAAATAAATAAAAAAATAAAATAAAAAAATAATCAAATATATAGCTAAGAATAACCTAAGCGACATAAGTGCAAGTGAGAAGCAAATTTATAAGGTCAGGTTACCATTCAAATCAATCTGCTTCCCTCTCTTTTTTCTTTTACCTTTCCCTTAATATGTGTCAGTTTTCCCTTTCAGCAACTTGCTGTTGCCTTTGCCTATCTAATTTCCAGTCATTCTCTCTCTCTTTTTCTTACTTTATGTCCCCATCTTTCTCCCACACCTCCCCATTCTATTAAGTCATAGTAACCTTCTCTCTAATAAGAAAAATGTGGTATTTAGAAGTTGTACAATGATTGAGACTAAGTAGTAAGTAGCAGTTACAGTGGGTTTTCATGATTAGACACTATTAGTCATAATGTTACAAAATGTATAATGATTATCAGTGTTGTAGGAACAAAATTCATATTGATAGAGGGATTTTTGTGTAGTCCCTTCCCCATCTTGAATATATATATATATATATATATATAATATTGCCCGAGAAAATTGTTTAGGGTGATGAAGTCCCTCCCCCTCGTTTCCTATGACCCTGATAATATATGTAGCAATTATACACAAAAGTATATATAGGGTATGTTTTAAAAATTAAATCAAATATTTCAGAAAAAAATACAAAAGCGAGAGTCATAAAGAAACAACGATTTTTTTTAAAAGAAAAATTTTATTCAATACTGTACATCTTCAAGATTCAATACATTTGGTATAAGTGTTTGAACCTTTGCAATGGATCTCTTGCACAGTCCACTTGAAATTTCAGCAACTCCACGCCGAACAATGTTTTTGAGTTCTCGTGCTCTAAATTCAACTCTACTGAATCCCACTTGGTTCTCTTCCCTCAAAAGTGTAGGAATCTGTTCAGCCAATAAGGATTTCACTTTTGATTTTATTACAGACCAAACTGGCTCAACTGGATTTAACATGGGGCTATATGGAGCTAGTCATATAATTTTGTGTTCTTTAAATTCTCCAGTCAGTATGTGTTCCACACTCGAATGACATGGTGCATTGTCAATGACCAAAACTACTGGTTGCTCATAAATGGTAAACATATTTCTGAGACAGTCTTTAATCCATTCTGCCGTGTCTTCTTTTTTGAATGAGCCTCATTTAATTATATGGTGCAAAAGGCCCTGACTGCCAATACATCCTATCAAATGTATGTTGGTGCCTCTTCATCCAGCAGAAGCTACTGTGCATTGACTTCCTCTCTTTGATCTGTCTTCTCGTCATGTGATGTGAAGGTTGAAATTCATTTCATCCATATAGTATAGGACTTTCCTGTCTCTGGGCGTCCAATAAAGTGCTTGCGAATTCACATCTTTTTGCTTTATTTTCCACAGAATTTCCTGCTTCATACCTGATATCTTGCAATGTATATAAAAGTGCATTAAGGTGCAATCTTATGGCCTCTGTGGAAGTGGTTACATTAAATCTTTCAAACAAGCCTTTTTTCAAATCCAACAGGGTACATCGGCAATTAGCTTCAATTTTTCCACAAAGTAATCTTGATGTACTGGTAAAATTTTTTTATATCGCCCACCACCTCTCCTATCCAACTTCTCTCCTTCCAAAGTCCATCTATAAGCAGTAGATTTAGGGACAACAAGATGTCCTGCCAACTCTCCACTGTCCATCCAAATTAAATGCTGCCAATATCTGAATTCTTTTCATTTCAGACTCATTCTTCAGAGGTTTTCTACGCGATAACATTGTAATAATAGTAGGCCGTGTATCACTGCTGTCTATTAAAAATGTCAATTTCCAATCACTATTTACGAAAAAAAGATAGATTGTTCCAATTTGAACTCGCCTAGTCCATAATGAATCTGCTTCATTCCAATTCAAACTTGCTTATTTCATTATGAATCTGCTTTGTTCCAAATCAAACTTGCTTATTTCATTTTGAATTTGCTACATCCCATTCTGAACTTGGCTATTTCATTTTGAACTTGATTAGTCCCAAATTGAACTTGAAATGGTATAGTCTTACTAAATCTTAATAAATTCTTTGCTTATTTTAGATCTTTCCAGAGGCTTCTCCAAACTCATTTTATGTCTTCTAATTAGTATTTTAACCCCCCCCTTTTCTCTTTGAAATGTAATTAGGTTCTGTATTTTCTCAGTTTAATTTCAATCATTATTAGGCATTCTCATGCATTAAAATTTTGAACACTGATTACTGTCTGGTTATATTTCACAGGAGGCAAAATGTTAAGCCAGGGTCACTTATGACAATGATGAAATGTTTGATAAAAATCATGGGTTTGTGAGAATAAGTTTTCCGCAATTTACTTTTCCAATAGAAAATAAATGACATTTAAGTAGTTGTTCAGTCATGATTATGAAGTGTTTAATAACCGGCAATTGGGCCCAAACAAAAATAATCAATGCAACAAGTTAATTGTCTCTAAACTTATCCACATGAACAATTTTCCTATTGGACTCCCTACAGAAAATGGAATATATCAAAAAGACTTACACCATGAAATATGATTTCTTTCACTTCTTCAACATTGAGAACTCTTCCATCTTTATCCATCATTCCAGCCCATTGGTGTGCTTGTAAGGGTTCTCCCCGTGTTACTGTTGGTCGTGGGGGTAATTTGGTCTGAAGTAGGAAAGAAAAAAAAAAAAAAATGAGCATTATACTGATAATACAAATCAGCAGTGAAAAGGTTGAAGATTCAAATTTAGCAAAGAATAAAATGTACATTTATTGGGATCTAATTTCAAGAAATTACAAGATTAATGATTCTAAATTAATAATTTTCTGTTTATTCTTGATGCACTAGCACATGTTTATACTGTTTTCAATTTAAAGGCTTGTTTTTAAATTACTGCTTGCATAATTTTATGTTTGTGTTTTTTTTTGTTTTTTTTCCTTACATCCACCATCATACACATGGTTTCTGTATTTACACTTGAAGTGATATGAGTTGCTATTCATGTTAAAGTTCTTACAAAAAAAAAAAAAAAAAAAAGAAAAAAAAGGGGTGTTAAAAAAAAAATAATAAAGTTGGATTGAACAAGTTTACATCTACAAAATCATTTTTCTATATAGTCATCAGCAATGACTACATCTTTGCCAGTCATGAACAGGTGTAGCAGAAAAATACAATTTACACATAGTAAATTAAACCCAAATTTATACAATTATTAGAATACATATCTAATTGCACACCAATTTTCATCTAGTTAAGTCACACATATGCCACACTCTACTCAAAAATTTTAAAACAAACAAATATACAAGAGTACTGGCCAATATCAATGCAACTCTTGCTTGCCACAGATGTCTACAACTACGTCCATATAGGCTATAAGAGAAGCCAAACAACAGGAGAGAGAGAGAGCAGAGAGAGAGATACTTCACACACCCACATTAACCATACAGGCTGCTCAAGAGCATGGCTGACTGCCCGTCTGACCATTAAGTTGCAAAAACAACCTCCTGTGAACACAAAAAGAGAATGGATTCCACTACAACACAACAAGCCCAAACCAATAGCCAACAAGCAATCAGCCGAGTTAAGCATACTCCTTTTCCACACTTCGTACACTGTACATTCGAACACTACACTATACAACTTGTCAGATACATTTTCATATCTTATAAATGAAAATAAATCTTTGGTCATTTCTCCAAACCAGTGTCTAATTCATTTCTTTACTCCAACCAACTTCCACCCCCAGATCACAAGTGCTCTTCATTTCATAGGCTGACAGATCTTACTGTCTTATAGAGAGAATATCCCATTGGGAAACAGATGCCAATGAGCAATTTTGTCTGCTGTGTACCTGTTGCATTCATCATAACAATGTGGCTACCTACTCTTCATGTCCTATGTATTTTTTTTTTATGGATTGAAAAAAACCCAAAAAGAAACAGGTATGTCAGCACCTCTACAGCCTCAATTTGGTTCCTGAAAGTCCTGGGGGAGAAAATAAAACCACAGTAGTGGGCACTGAAAGCAACTACAGACCATGGACATGATTAAAGAGAATGCAACTAGGCAATTGGATTTTGTTGGTTATTTTGAAAAGTGAAAGATATATAATTATGTGATGTCTTACAGGAAGTACATTCAAGAGACTATAGTGCCATAGCCCCAAGCAGAGTATTTTCAGCTGCTTAAATGGCTGGATTATTTCTGTAGGGAAGCCATATAAATCTCGATTTTTAAGATATTGTTATTTGAAAATGGGAAATTAAAATATTACAACTACTTATATTGTTCAATTATGCTTAACATTTCAAACATTAGGGATTAACATGCTTTGACTATACTAAGGGAATTTTTTCCCATAATATATTTACCTTCTTAAAGATTGGCATACACATTTGTTCATTCTCTAATCACAACAATATAAATATATAAAATACAGGTGTAAGCTGTAATTATTCCCTTGACTTGGAAGACAATTGTGCAGTGTAACTTCAGTCCACATATATTCAGCATCTGCATTAGCACATTCTAAAACTGGAACACAGTCAAGTCTTGAAAGCACATTCAATGAATACATGTAGAACATCAATATTTATTGACCTTCAACTGAACAGACACCATAAGAAACAAATCCACAAGCAAATTTAGAGCATAAAAATGCAGATGAAGGATATATTTTTTTTTAACTTTAAAAATCTTCAGATTAGATAGGGAGGAAGAAGAAAAGTTTAATTTCTTTTTTGAAGAGGGTTGATAAGATATGAAATACTTTAAATGAGCATTTTAGACTTTCAACCAAAGAAAGAAAAAAAAAAACAAAAAAAAAACAACATATACAGCAGTTTACAAGTTTGCTGCTTTACCAAACTAATAAAATATCCTGATACAAAGTAGTATTATAATTCAATACAAACCCATATCCAAATAAAAGTTCATAACCAACCATGAAAGCTGTTTACATATTCTGTACAGAAAATATTTTCTTTAATAAATGTTAATGTTTAAAGTTAAATATCTGAATAAAAAAATAAATTTTGAATATAAACCAAAGACTAAATCTATCAGGCACCATACAAATTTTCATTTATGTGGCAAATGGAGGCTTTACAGCATATTATAGTAGTTTTTTTTTTGTTAATTAAAAAGGAAAAAAAAAAAACATACAACAGTAATTACTAACAATATTTAGTTAAGGATATACAAAGCAGAAAAATGAAGTTGGGAAAAAACATATTTAACCCTTTGAACTCTGAACCCCTAATGAGCACAGTATATGCACTTTCACACATTGGGTTCAAAGTGTTAACATACTAAAAGAAGCAATGAACAAAAATTTACTAAGGTTTAACAATTTAACACTATTTATTTAGAAATTATGTATTTCAATATATTAGAAGGGACAAAAAAAAATCTTTATCCAAAACAAGATTAAAGAATCTTAAAATATTAGTAACATGTGTACTCATACCTCCATGCAAGGGAGGGACAAACCACTTCTTAAAATACGGTCAGACATTTTTTCTCGGTTGAGTCAAGAGCTTTTCAGCACCCCTTACACACACAAAATTATATATATATATATATATATATATATATATATTACACACACATGCAGCCTGAAGAGTGGACTGAACAATTACAAAATGTTAATCCACAAAACTTTAGAGACAAGGTACTGAATAGAACAATCAGCTAAGTGACAAATTTTATTTGTATTAATCCTACACACACACCAAAAGCTCAAGTAATTATGTGGCTTTGTTTCTCTACCATTATAGCCAGTACTGTATGATAGGAAAAAAATCCTTTTCAGCCAATTTTAAGATTGATCTGTAAAAAAAAAGTTTTTCCAGTAACATGGGATTTTTGACAATGAACTTTACAACATTGATTGTATTTGACAAAAAGATGTGAACAGCCCTGCAACAATGAACTCAATCACAAAATAGCAGAACTCAAAGTCATGCAATGATCATCATGCAAATGTTATTGAGAAAGTAAAGAAAAAAAATACTTTAGAAGTATGAACAATTCAAATCAAGGATACATTACCATCACAACTAAAAAGATCAAGTGCTGAAAGTTTTGCCTCAAATTAAAGATTAAAAAAAAATAACACACATGCAAATATTTTTATGCTAGTGAAAACTAATACAATTGTTCTAAATATAAAACCTTCAAATATCTTAAAATTACAGGGTAAGTTATTTGCTCAAAAACTTCAGTGCTATGTAAACTTTAAGCAATAGAAAACATTAAGAAAACTTATATTTCAGCAAAACAAGTTTTATTAAACTTTCAGCATTGATCTCATAAGGGCTGCTGGCAAATATTCATAACTAGCTACTGACAATATAGTGTTCCTTTACTTAAAAGGAGTTAGGTTATTAACTAGAATGTTATACAAATTTAGAATTAGAAATCACAAGTGAATATTGAAAAGTGAAGTTTGTTCATCTGCACTGATATTCCAGTCAATTTTATCTTTTGGTAGGTGGTGGCATTATGTTTATAAAACTCCAGACAGACATATTTTGCACAAAATTCCCCCCTCCAAAGAACAAGTCCAGCCATCTTATGATCAATAATACTAATAATGGTTATAATTATTATTATAATAATTATGATTATCAATAATAATAATAATAATTATAAAAAAGAAAAAAATTGCCCTATGTCAGTCGTTAACACCAGATATCAGAGAGGGCTAGGCCGATATATGGATTCTTTAATCAAGAAGTAATATTAGTGGGTAAGATTGAGAGAGAGAAAAAAAATAGGAAAATAATGTCTCGGATTGCAAAATATCACAGACCAGAGTCTAGCCTCAAGACAATTTTTTTTCCAAAAATAATATTAAAATAAAATGACAATGATTACTTCAGTATTTACATGCAGACTATTGTCCTCATCTTTTTTGTAGTTATCACAACATTTTGGCTACCTTCTTCAGGTGTATGTCAATCCAGATACACCTGATAAAGGCCAAAGGGCACATTAGCTGAAATCTTGTGATAAAAACAGCAAAGATAGGGATAATAATCTGCATGTAAATAGCGTATATAATAACTCCTCACCCCAGAAATTCAGTCAGAAATTACTTGAATATCTTACAAAGTAGTGATTACTGCAATATGAAAACTTAATTAGGAATTCTAATGCATTTGGGTTTTATACATCATGATCCTCAATCTCTTGTGTGCATACTGAAAATCCTTCAGATTGACCCACTTTCCAAATGACCAAACCAACATTTTTTTTTTATTTATTTGGGAAGAATTAAAGAAATTCCAAGAACAATGTGCCAAATGTTGAATTTCAAAGGGGAACATGTGGAATAGCATTTAGGTTTCATGTCTCAGGTTAATTCTAGGTTAAGCAGAGAACTTTAGCACCCCACACTCCAATATACACTATTCTTTTCCAGCAAGTAAAGAATCTGAAGAAAGTTTTTCAGTATACAAAAACTAACTTAAATCCATACTAACAATTGATTTTACAAGGCTAGTTGCACTGGAAGAAATGGAGTCAATTATTTGCTAGGAACAGCTTGGCAAGTTTTCAACTTTAAAATTGTTACAGTTAAACTTTGTTTTAAGAGCTTAGAAAAAAAACCAAAAACAATAACAATTAACCAACTTTTTCAAGGAAAAATAATTATCAAAAGTCAGATAACAACCCACCTCTGCTTGAAATGGCAGACAAAAAAATAAATATTGATTTACGCTTTGGAATTGATGAAAATTTTACATGAACTGAAGTTAACATTTTCTATTATCAAAGTCAATCCAGTTTATCACATACATGTAACTATAAATATTTTTAGTGGGTATAAGTGTTTGATTTGATAGCTCTGTTTTTTTTTGTTTATTTTCTTAAAAAGTAAAATTAATAACATTTAATCTTGTGAGCTGTCAATCCAGAAGCACTTCTACATAAAGGTTTTCTATTAGTGTAAAAAAGCAAGTGTGTATCCATCACTAGCTTACTAGGCATGTAATGTAACTTACAGCATCTGCTCTTGGTGGTCACCCATCTGAGTGCTGACCAGATTCAATATTGCTTAACTTTGGCAAATGGAGGAGAACTGGTGTTTCAACATGATGTGGCCATAAACTCAAATTAATAACAATTGGCCATAATTTCATAGTTTAAGAATATACATAAAAAACAAACAAAAAACAGGGTTAGCTAATCAAACATGTACCCATTAAAAATAACATTTATGGTAATAAGTATATATATATATATATATATATATATTTTCTAAAGAATTAATGGATTTATTTTTAATCCAAGTTTTTTATTAATTCAAACGTTATTATAGTGGACACTTATTTGAAATAGTCTCCTCATTTTTATTTATTTATTCATTAGTGAGTAATACATCTATCAGCCTATTGGAAGACACATTTTCTTTTTAGATTTTTTCGAAAGCACAGGCTAATAGTTGTTTTACACAGTTTAATAAATAAATAAAAATGGGACGTCGATTTCAAATAAGAAGTGTCCACTATAATAACATTTTATGTAGTAAAAATTATATGTACATATTTCCCAAAGCTGATTGGAATTTCAGTTTAGGGAGAAGTGTGAAACAACTTCAAACTATAGATGCAAAATTAAATCAAGCAAAGACAATAGGTATATATCTGACCTTAGGAGATTGGGAGGGGAAGGAGAAGACCACAGTGCCCACTCAAAATCAAATCAATAATATATGTTTAAAGCTTTCCCAGTGTTTACCCTTTTAAACTTGGGGCGGCTTGGTGGTTTAGGGTCAGCAACCTGCTTGTCTGGTTTCTTCTGAAAAAGAGAGTTGTAGAAAGATGCCAACTTGAGTGAATGTGCAAGTATCCATGACTAAGATTGTTGTTGCAGGCAATGTGAACAGTGATTGAGAATTCTATATAGCCTTTGGCATCAGATCCAACAAGAGAGAAAAAAGGTCATAATGTTAATAGTAATGGTGGCAAGAGAACAAATAAATGTTAAGGCTGAGGAAAGTTAACATGCCATACAAGAAGAAAAGATTACTGGTTGCAAATTTCTAATAATGCTTTACATTTTAATAAGTAAAAGAAAGAATTAAAAAAGATAGAAGAATCAGCCAATTTATTATTGGTTTTGTTTCATACTAAAGGCAAACACATTAAAAAAAAAAGTAACAAATTCACATATACATTTCCCAAACTTTTATAGCAAATAGTTGGTGCTAGCATTATGCAAATTTTATAGCAATATTCAAAGATCTACAGAGAAACTACACGATTCTAATAGATAAAGTTAAAATCTGAATTAACCTAAGTAGGAACAACAGTAATGTACAAGAAAATTACTGCTTCCCAAAAAAGCTATCACCAGTTCCCAGCAAATTTTAATTCCAAAATTAACATATCTTACAAATATACAAAGTCATCATCTTTTTTTTTTTTTACATTGCAAGTCTTTCCATAATTAACTCATTTACAAATTACACTCAATAATATTAATATTGAAATTTAGATAAACACTTGTATGAAAGTCTGTCCATATTTCTGAGATGAGGTATTATGTACATTATTTGGACTATTGTCCTCATCTTTGTCGCCATATTTATTACGTTTCGGATGTTGTACGCTCCGGCCTTCTTCAGGTGGTTGAAAGAAAGAAAATGTAGACCCCTTGTATAACATCTCCTACACCAACATGAGGGGTCTACATTCCAACTTTCCAAAAGTGGAACACCATCTTCTCCAATCTAAACCAAACCACATGCTACTTCCTGAAACCAGTATCAATGCCTCATGCCCACTAAGGGAATTCACCTAAATTGTCATGGCCATGAACTCAGGGCCTACATTAAGGATGATGTTTCCCTCCAACAAAACCAATGTGGAAGGCATATATTGCAGATCAACCAACCCAGATCATTGGAGAACCTACCAGAGTCCCAAACACGATGGGTCATCAAGCAAATCTCCTAGACCTCTTCCTAACCTCCTGCCCTAATAAATGCCTATCAAAAGTTTTACCTCCAATATGTCAGACCATTCCCTAATTAGTGTCCAGATTGATGCCAAACCTAAGGCACCCTCTGATGTATAGTTTCATAGAACAATTTTTCACTATGCAAAAGCAGACTGGGACAGCTTTTGATCCTATATGATGGAAACTCCTCTCCCAACCTTCTTCAAGCATGCTGCCTCAAAAACTGCAGCCCTTGTCATTGACTGGATCCTTTCTGGAATGGAGAGTTTTATACCCACAAAAAAGTTCCAGCAAAAACCAAATGATCAACCTTGGTTTACCCCTGAATGCGTTGCAGCAATAACTCATTGAAACCACTCCTTCAATATCTATCACAAGGAGCGAAATTGCTACAAAAAAGTTCTAGAAAACACTATGTGCAGCTATGCACGAGCAGTCCAGGCCAAAGTTGAAAAGAAACAAATTGGATCCCATGAATTCTGGAGGAACACCAACCAAATCATGAACAGAGGTAAAGCAGCTGTGCCCACTATTATAAATGGCTCCAAGGTCATACCTTTTCGCCTCCTCTTTAACTCAATGTTAGAAGACAAAAACCATCCCCTATCCAAGTTCCCACTGGGCACAATTGCAGTAATATTACCATCACAGTCCAAGAAGTTTCCAGACTAAGAAAGCCACTGGTCCAGATAAAATTCTAGTGGTCGTCCTTAAGAACATCAACCTAGAATTATCCCCAATCCTAGCAAAATTATTCAACTGCTGCTTGAAGTAGAAACCTCTTCCAAGCTTATGGAAAGTGTCAAGCATATGCCCAGTTTTCAAAAACACGAGCATGCGATCTTCCCCCTCCTAAGACAGACCCATCAGCCTCCTCAGTATCATCAGCAAGCTTTTTGAGGCCATAATCAATATGAAGGTAGTTGAGCAGCTAGAAAAGAAACTCTTCAGTGACAAGTAGTATGGGTTTCAGCTGGCCTGATCCACTGCCAATGTCCTAACTACCATCACTCAGAGAATAAGTGATGCTCTTGACAAACATACATTGATGGTCATAGCATTAGATATCTGAAAGGCCTTGACAAGGTGTGGCCCAAAGGCTTACTACCTAAGTTCTCCAGTTTTGAAATCACTGGAAGGGTCTTCCCGATGATAAAATCCTTCCTAACAGGTAGGTCCCTGAATATAGTCATCAAAGGCCAGTCCTCTGGAGACCTAGGTTAATGTAGGCACCACATCTATGCCAATGATAGAACTATATACAGGCAAACCTTCGTTCACAAGGCTAAGCCAAGTAGAAGACGATCTTAACCAGTTCAAGGCTAGAGTTAACTGTTATCTTCTACTCCTATACATACAAATGACCTCCAAACATAAGCCTCTACCTCAAGTGTCTAATAAATGGTGAACATTAAAAAAAAAAAAAAAAAAAAAAAAAAAAAAAAAAAAAAACTGAATCCACCTCCCCTGCTTAGTGGAAGGAAAGTGGTAGAAGAAAAAAAAAATAGTTTCATGTGACATTGGATTACAGAGTTCACAAGTTTGAACTTGATGGTCAAATAAACCAGGGACTCTTAGATAAGGATTTATAAGAAGCATTACAATATCAAGAGTATGAGATCATATCTGACATTAAGAAAAAATATATGACTACTTTCGAAGAAGATCAGAGACGGAGACGAAGGAAGAAGAAGATCAGAGACGGAGACATAGGAAGATGAAGATCAGAGACGGAGACATAGGAAGATGAAGATCAGAGACGGAGACATAGGAAGATGAAGATCAGAGACGGAGACAAAGGAAGAAGAAGATCAGAGAAGGAGACAAAGGAAGAAGAAGATCAGAGAAGGAGACAAAGGAAGAAGAAGATCAGAGAAGGAGACAAAGGAAGAAGAAGATCAGAGAAGGAGACAAAGGAAGAAGAAGATCAGAGAAGGAGACAAAGGAAGAAGAAGATCAGAGAAGGAGACAAAGGAAGAAGAAGATCAGAGAAGGAGACAAAGGAAGAAGAAGATCAGAGAAGGAGACAAAGGAAGAAGAAGATCAGAGAAGGAGACAAAGGAAGAAGAAGATCAGAGAAGGAGACAAAGGAAGAAGAAGATCAGAGAAGGAGACAAAGGAAGAAGAAGATCAGAGAAGGAGACGGAATTTTAATAACAAGATCTCAGAAATATTTTCATTGCAGTAAGAAAACTTCATGACTTATCAAAAGCCTTAACCTTAAGAAAGCCACTGTCTCAAAGAAAATTCCAGTGGTTGTTCTTAGTATCAAAGTGGAATTATGCCTGATCCTAGCAAAGTTATTCAACTGCTTGTTTGAAGGAGAAATCCTTCCCAAGCTTGTGGAACATGTCAAGCATATGCCTGGTCTTCAAGAACATGGGCAAGCAATCCTCTCCCTCCCAGTGCAGACCAGTCAGTCTCCCCAGTTTCATCAGTAACCTTTTTGAGGCTATAGCTATATATATTTGTCAAGTGCCTAGATAAGAACAACCTCTTGAATGACGAGCAATACAGGTTTTTTAATTGGCCAGATCCAATGCTGATGTCCCAACTGCCATAATAGACAGAATTAGTGAGGCTCTTGACAACAAACACACCTCTAGGACCATAGCATTAGATATTTTGAAGGCCTTTGACAAGGTGCGAAACAAAGGCTTGCTATACAAGCTCTCCAGCTATGAAATCACTGGAAGGGTTTTCTCAATTATAAAAGTCCAGTTCTCCAGGGCCCTGGTGGTCAACGCAGGCATCCTCAAAGGGTCAATTCTCTGACCAACCCACTTTTTGATTTACAGAAATGATCTACCTAAGTATATACTCAGATAATTTGTAAAGATCTATGCTGATGATATGACAATATACAGGTGCACCTCTAAAACTCTTGATGATCAAAGATTTAATTCAATCTAGCAGTAACTTCCCAGTAAGGTAAAAACTGGCTGGTTACATTCTATGCCTTGAAAACAAAACTAGTTGCATTCCATCATCGTTGATTGAACCCCAAACTTCCACCAGTTACAATGAATGGATGTCAGCACCATGCCTTAATAGGCTACTGTGCTGGAAACTAACATCCAACTTGAAGTGGAACTTGTACATATGATCCATCGACAAAAATGCAAGTAAAATACTTTGCTCCCTGCACCAGTCCAGTAAGTACTTGACTCCTATGCTATCCCCTATCTTTACAAGAGACAGATCAGGCCAAAAATGGAGTAGTGTTGTCATATTTGGGAGGAAACTGCCCAGTTCTCACTTTCCAGCCTCCACAGAGCTCAAAAGTGTCTCAGAGTCCTTGCAGGTAACAAATTATTTTCCACCCTGCAACCCATCTCTCACAGGCAAGCCTCTCACTGCTCTATTGCTACTTCCAGGGAAAGTGCTCGGAAAAACTACATTTCTTGGTTCCACTAGTTCTAACCTTCATGTCTAGGATCTGCCATGCCACGTACATTATAGCAAACCACCCACATTCTCTCCATATTCCATTGGTGAGAAGTAAGTTTTACTCAAACAGCTTCTTCCCACAAACCACTGTTCTGTGGAAACAACTCCCAAAAAGAGGTTTCCCCAATCACTACAATATTAACCTGTTCATGTCTAGTTAACTTATCTTCCTCTTCTATCTGTATAAACTGCCTCTTAATGTAATTTTACCTCAAGCGACCCCCTCGTATAGAGTGAGCCTTACTACAAAAAAGACTTTGAAAGACCTATTAGAAAAAAAATGTACAGAAAGAATATACCAAAATAAAAATCAAAGATTTTCTCTTATTCATTTGAGGAATTAATTTAGAAGATGAATAGCTAAACTGACTAGACTAAAAATGTCTAACACCTAAGCACTCTTTGAAATAAGAATTGTTCAAATTTATTCAGACATTTAACTTTTCAGTCTTGACATAAAGGTTTTTTTAGTCTTATTAGACTAAAAAAACCTTTATGTCAATACAAGATTTTGTATATTTGTTGAACATTTAAAGACTGATAACAATTTCTCATGGATGTCAACATTTTAGTTTTAATTGGTTATGTTGCAATACAAACTGAGCTAATGACACTCAATGCACACTATAATAAAATAACACCACAAAACATTGATGACTAGGTTACTTTGGAAATTGTACTAAGCACTACTTTATAAAAAAAATTCTAGGGAACAGTATTCACAATGTCGTGAAAAAGAATATATATGTTGACACTAGGCAATGTAAGTAAAGATAAATATGCCTACAGCAGTGGAAGTGGAAATTTGTTCTTTCAGTATTAGTCTAGCAAGAAATGCCAATAAATTTTTCATAGTTACTCAAAACTACACATGTAAACTTAATATATCAACTGAATATACTTCGCAATAACAAAACCATCAACCTTTATGGCCAATGGATCTGAAGCCTTATATCAACTGCATTAGTCATTTTATCATATCAACTGATTTATATTGAAGTAATTATAATATAGCTTTCAGATTTGTGATTTAAGAACTTTAACAATTTAAATTTCTTCCAAGAAAGTAGGATTAGACATGAAACAAAATAAGGAAATATTTGCTTAGTAAAGAAATTTTTTTTACCCACAAATATCAATGCAATATAGAATATCCCAAGATTATTCTAGAGAAGAAACCTTATGCATTCATTTTAAGGTTAAGTGATAAATTTTAACTTCAGAATTGCCATTAAATATCTTAAAATTAATTAACTTCAAAACCAATTACTACAAATCTTAATTACTAGCAACTGTGAAGCTTTGGAGGAATTAAAAAGCTATCAGCATGACCCATTTCTCAAAATCTAAACAACTATCAGAATACTGATATTGGGTCAAATGAAAGCTTTTCAGCACCTCATAATATAGATAAGGCAGCCATCCATTTCACAAAGCAAATATGATTATAAGAGTACAAAAGGCAAAACATGCAACATGCAGAAATATTCATTTTCTGTTTGGTCATTATATGCAAGTAATCAAAGCATTTTACAAAACAAGGTCTAAACTACAGAAAATGCAATTACTTTGGTCCTAGTGAAATCCATGCTTACAGAATAGAAAGCATACTTCTTCCCATCGATATGTAAATAAAAAGGTAAATGGGATATATGACAGGTGATAATTACCTTGGTGATGAGTTCAAATCCAGGTTCATCTTGATGGTTGATCTCCATACCAGCAATGTCTTCATTTAGAACCTCTGCCATCTCTTCTCTAGGTCGAGTGCTCATAGACTCTGGTTGTAAGAGAACATCCTTAAAGAAGTTAGTCACTTTTGAGAAGCCACCTAAAGTGCTTGTGAAGGGATCATTGAGGAATTTCTGAAGGAAGGAAGGAAAAAAAAAAATGGTTTTGTTCAGTTGGTATAGAAAAATAAGAAAATGTGATTTGCTTCACACTATGAGAGCTCAAAGCTTGAACATTGAAATTCTACTTTTCCAGTCTATTATGCAGCATTTTTTCATAGTTATTTATATTCATTTATAATAATTTCAGTATTTAGTTTGAAGGCATTGAACAGAACGAGATTACTTGATTCAAATTAACTAATCAGTTCTCAATTACTGATGATTGAATAAGTACTAGAACAAACTAGTATTGAAAAATTCATTAGGAACAAAAATGCAATAAGAATATTAATACAACAACTAGCTTTTATAGTATTACACAATGAAAACTGATGTTGAAATTAGTAATTATAACATTACCAGAAGAATTTGGGAAAAAATATATATACTGAATTTTTAATCTAATGTTTCTGCCCCAATTTTATAAAGAAAAAGATACTAAAATATAAAATGAGCAAACTTTCCTATATTTAAAATTTACAAAAAGTTTGCCTTTCTCCTATATGGGGAACTAAATATCTTGTTTAAACTTAGGTTTCACTTCCCATAAGTTTCAATGTATTTTGAAGTTTATTAAAATTAAGTTGAGAACGCAAGTAGTCCTTGTAAAATTTCCACCCAAATATTGGTTTCCTTGATATTTCAAAATAATAAGGCAAATAAAATGTATGCATGCTTGCATACATACATACATACATACATACATACATGGTGTATCAAAAATACTTTTACAAACTTTGAGGGTATGTTCACACCAAAACAAAGACAAAAGTCCATATAAATATATTGCCCACAAATCCTTCGTTTTTGAGTTATTAAGTTTAAAGAAAGTTTACGGTAGATGGCGCGGTGTTGCCATGTAGATGAGGTTACATTTGTCATTCATGTACATTTGTGGCTAGTCTGTCTTCAACATGTGTAATAGCGAGTTAGTTCTGTTTAACAATGGCAGGATATTCATATTGTGAGCAGGCAGATGTGGACACAAGGCTGCAAAGCTATATCAGATTGTGTTTCCAGACCAAAGAATCATTCAACCTCTGCATTGACAGGATCTGTGGCACCACAAACAATGGATCAAGGAAGACTGAGATTCACTCATATACTTGACTATGAGGAACACATTCTACAGGCTGTCAGAGACGATTCAGGTAACATCACATGTCAAGTGCCCCTAACATGTTGTACATCCCATGGAGAGTACTTCAAGAGCAGCTCCTATATCCATATCATTTGCAACACGTGCATGGTTTTTTGCCCTCTGATAACTCACCATGGGAGAACTTTTGCCAATGGTTTATTGCACAAATGACTGATCTGTTGTTTGTCTTTTCAATCTTGTTTACAGATGAGGCAACATTTGGAAGAGATGGAATAACAAAATTTACACAACCAACATTTGTGGGCTGATTGGAATTTTCATGGTACAATACAGGCTAGACACTAGAATTAGTTTACAATTAATGTGTGGGCTGGAATTTTTGGTGACTGTTGGATAGGTCCATATGTTCAACTAGCATGTCATACAGGAGCTGTCTACAAGGACTTTATTCCGAACACACTTCCAGGCCTGCTAGAGGATATACCCTTGCTAACACGAAGATGCATGTGGTTCATGCATGATGAGGCTCTAGCACATTTTAGTCATATTGCTCATGATGCACTGGCTGACATCTACCATGAAAGATGGATAGGTAAGAGAGGACTGGTTCCATGGCCTGTATGTTCCCCAGACCTCTTATCTATGGGGGCCACCTAAAACAATTGGTTTATGCAGCTGACATTAATAATGCAGAGATGCTTCGTCAATATGTCATGGTGACACCATGTGAGAGTATTTGAAAGGGTCAGCCAGATGGGTGCATGTGTGTGTAGAAGCAAGTAGAAGACATTTTGAACATTTGCTGTGTTGAGGTACAATGATGGCCTTTTGGACATATTTTTATAGGAACCTACCCCCAATGTTTGTAAAAGTATTTTGAGATTTTATCTTGGATTGTATATTTAACTTTACTCAAAAACAAAGTATTTGCAGACATCTGTTTATATGGATTTTTGTCTTTGTTTTGGTGTGAGGAACCTGTCCCCAAATTGGCACTATTACACTTTCACACCTCCCATGACACTGTCAACCACACAATGTTTTTTGTCTTCAGTTCTTTCAAAAAAAAAAAAAAAAAAAATTTTTTTTCTTTCTTAATGTTTTATAATTTGTGGATTTTAATTTTAAATAATACATTTCATTTCTTTAAATTTCTGACTTTCTTTTAGAAACATTTGACAGCAGAAACACATTTACAGAAGCTTTTTAAAACCATTGTTAATGTTTGTAAATTAATTTTATGAAGTTAAACTTTTTAAAAAACTTTTAAAAATAAGTTTTTCATTTTATAAATTTATTTGTTTTTTTTTGGGGTGTAAAAGTGTAATAGTGCCCCAAAGTATTTTTGATACACCCTGTATATAGACAAGGCAATATATAATCATTCATTGCTTGCCAATTTCTCACATATTGTATTTTTTTTTTTTTTTTTTGAATTTCTATGGCTTTCCGAACTACTATGACTTCAGAGAAAGGTAAGGGATTTGTTTCACTTTCATTCTCCAGTTTTGAATACATAACTGTCCTTCAGGATTGGTTGCCCTACTGTCTTCCCCATAACTATAGAAGGTGGATTCATTCTCTTCCCAAGTGGATGAGTGTCAATTTCCAGTGCTATTAAGTTATAACTTCACATCAGATACTGGATTTCAGGTAAATAAAAAGTTTTTTTTTTCATTGTACAGCACAAGGGTTTTTCAAGTTTTTATTGCAAGCAAGAACATTTTTTTCATATAAAATTTGACAGGAATTTATAAAAAAAATATATTTTAAATATCTGGAATACAATCTATAAATAAAAAAGATTAAATAATAAATTGTATTTTTTTTTAAAAATGCACTCTTATTATAAGTGCAGATTATAATCTAATTTTGTAAAAGAAGATAATGTTAGTAAGACATTAGACAAACACTCTGGAATTAGAAATAAAGCAGTTAATAGTATTTCAAGAGATATTTTGTAAACAGCATAAAAATTAAGTCAAAAATGCAAGCCACTCAACTATAAAAAGGCAGCAGTTGATCAGTATCTACTTCATTTATTCAATACTTACCTTTAAAATTGAAAACTTACTGCAATATACTAAGAAAGCGTATCATGCCTCACTGGCATCATATGCTAAATAGAAGGAAAACAACAGTTTGAGATATTGGAAAATTCATCTTTATGTTATCAAAATTATAGAAATAGTCTGGCTTGAAAGATCCCAGATGAAGTCAAACTTCATAGACATTTATCTATCAATCTAAATTTATAGGAAACTTGTAAAGCATAAGCATATGTGAGTACTGTCATGGCTTCTCAGGTGAAAAAAAAAAAAAAGAAAAAAAAGTATTTTAGTGGTTCTTGTGCAAAGTGTTTTGTTCATATTGAACCTACAATTTACCATTCCTTTGCAACATCATAAAAACTTATACTTAAAAGAAAAAAATAAATACACTGGAGCAATCTCCAATTAATGTAGGCTGGATGTCATCTTTGTACAAAGTTATCTTTACTTCAAGTTTATACATCTTTGAATGTCTTACAATAATCTACCAGTTGTACATTATACCTGTAATATTCCAAGTATCAAATTTGTCACTTTTAATTAGAATACTAATCTAGAAAGGAAAGATTTCATAGAAATTGAATCTAGGCATACTAGAAACTAACACTGTAGTCTGATTATATAATTATAAAAATCATAGAAAAAATTATTAAATATGAAACAGAGTGATTAAAAAGTAACTCCCTATTTGTAAAAATTATAGTTAAATGGGAGAGTCCACCATACAAAATAGGGAGCTACTTTTCAATCACTCTGTATATTATAAGATAGAAGCCATGATTTGAAAAGGAGAGATTAGATCAGGTTTATAAGGCTTAGTTTAAGATGACCATACACATCCTAAAATGAAGTTCAATGCTTCATTAAGTCAGTTTGAGATACAAATACAAATTGCTACCATGTTCCAAGACATGGTAATTCTTTTTTGGAAGTTGGAAAGGAGAATATCATGTGTATTTAGACAGCAAGAATTCTTTCAAACAAGTTTTTCAAATTTCTGAATAAGTTGTTCTATATAATCAATAAACTTGAATTTAGTTAATTTGTTTTCTATCACAACCAAGTACATTCAACTGTTGCTACAATTTGAAAATATAGAGGATGTTGGAATTAACTAAAAGCATTTACATAGACAAAAAAGCCTTGAAAATGAATGTAGCAACATTCAAAAGTACTCAGAGGAAAAACAAAAACAAACTTTGAAAAGTTTACAGATCATATAAAATAACTCATCTGTAATTTAAAAAATTACATAATAAAATATATATAAAATATTCCAAATTATAATGTATGTGTGCTATAACATCATTACAAAAATAGTCATTTTGTTTTAACACTTCTGGTGTCTTATCAAGTGATGGTGCACAGCAGAAATGTTGAAACAAAATGGCTATTTTTGTAGTGATGTTATAACATGCATAAGTTATAATTTTGAATAAATATGATTTGGTTTACTGTATTGAGCACTCATAAGAATAGTGTTTTTGCTTATCAGAATTTTATTCCATCTGTACCAACCTTGTACTTGGAGATATATATATATGCAAAGAATTCATAAGCAAATGCTTAATAGCAATAAATAAGCAGTCACTTGTTTTTGCTAAAGCGACATTCTAATTAAGCAAAGAGAAAAAAAAAAAATTATGGTATAGTGTTGGAAGGGTGATTGCTGTGAGGAGGATCACAAGCTTTGTAAAGTAGAATTTGAAAGCAATTATTACCTATTGAAACAATGATCTCCATTTTAGTGATGGCAACCTCCTAAATACAATTAAAAAGTGGTCATCTTAAACATCAAATATACAAGCTAAAAAAAAAAAAAAAAAAAAAAGCTAATGGAATAAACATTTTGGGGAGCTTCAGATAGTACACATCGAAAGAAGGATTTACATAAAATAATGCAAATTAAAAGAAATTTAACATATCTGCATATAATAAATGTACTTTACATTTTCAAATATTGATTTGACTCCCTCCCCCAACAAAATAATGAAGATAAGAGTATACTAGCCAAAGAGCTTCCCACAATGGAAAAAAAAAAAAATACAAAAATATTATGATCAGTTTAGTAAAATTAAGTATTAAATAGCAAGCTTCATGCTGGTGATAGATGGAGACAGGATGGCATAATGATTGAATGAAGGCATCCGTTTGAGTCAGCTAGAAAGTGTCTTTTGTTACTAGCTACTCACTTGTTTGTGCCTTCTTACTGAAAGGTTGCCAGAAAAAGCCTCCTGGATCTGAAAAAACAAATGGCCTTAAGGTAAGGGTTGTTGCAGTGAATACTAATAGTAAGAAGGATAGCTAATGACATTTCATGTGAACAAATTCTGATCTTTAGATAATTTATAGTTAACCGTTTTTTGGTGGAATTATGCAATAGTGCCTAGAAATAATCTTTTCCTTTCATTTTTTTCTTTTTCAAATATTACTATAGATTAAGTACTCCAGGTCATGACTATCAAAAGAAAAGATATTTTTTTAATTTTTTTTTTTAAAAAGTTCATAGTGGGGGTCCAGTTTAGTATGTAAATTTCCAGTAAATTGATCCCTCTATGCAAGACAAAACAAATATGCCCATAAAATGTGATTCCTGATTGATTGGTTATGCGATTTCTGAAAAAGTAAAAAATATATTTTTTAAATTTGTAATCTGGAGTACTTAATTGACAGTAACATAAAAAAAACAAAAAAACTCCAGATTAAAAAAAAAAAAAAAAAAAAAAATTGTGCATGATGCATATAGGGATAATTTACAATTAATTTAAATGACAAAATGGACCCTCTATTAATTTTTATAAAATTTAAGGTTTTTTTTTTATACTCATGATGTATAGTTTTCAAGGGGTTAATGAACTAAGCCTTTTTGTTTTCTAGATGGCTGAGAATTCTTAAATCTTTAGTCAGTATCCTTACTATATGTGACAGAATGGCTAAGTTTTGGGAGAGAAAAGATTTGATTAATTTATACAATTGGCATGTTATCCAACACAAAAGATTTGAATCTGTCAAAAATCAGTTTTGCTTATTCTTTGGCAACTTCGGTATCAATTTCTTAGGACATTCCCTGAAAATAAGAGTTATTGGGATAAAATTAACCTCAAATTAATAAACATAGTATTATATAGAATCATTAAACCTTCCACTTGTCAGGATATTTTGAGAGAAGATTCAAGATATTTCATCACATTTAGAAACAAAATACCATATAGGTATAAAGTTTGAATAATTGATTCAAGTAATGATTGGAAAAAAATGTAATTGATCTAATTTCATATTTTACTAAGTCTAGTTTGCTTGTTATTTAGTGATGTATAGTCAATAATAATTAAAAGCAACTGGAACTTAAACCTTGCTGAGGACTGGTCTTCAGTTCTCAGTTTGTAATTATATATTACAAGTTCATCTTATAGTTTGATAAGTTTGATATTTAAGTATATGTATTTGGAACCCAAATTCAATGTACAAGTGATTTAGAAAAGCAAAAATTGTGATACCTTCAGGATCAATTCAAGCTACCAAAGACTGAATGGTAGTGTGGAAAACAAAAGGAAGACAAGGTACAAATTTTAAGGCGGAGGGTGGCGCCGTTACATAGCTGACTGCGTGGTGTTCAATAGTAAAGGATCCTTCCCACAAAAAAACGCCAATAACCTATGGCACAGAGTGTTAATGTATTCTGACAATACTTCATAGGTATTTGAATTTAATGCAATATTAGCAAATAACCATTTTTATTGCTAATTAGGCTTGTGAAATACAAGATTTTAGAGATTCAGTTATCAAAAGAATTTTTACAAAGAAGTTTTTCAAAACCACAAATATTAAGTCAAAACCTTCTTTTCAGAGATTCTTCCCAATTTTAAAAGAATCAAAAAGTAAAGAATAGTCTTTAAGAGGGAGATCATCCAAATTCCCTTATTTAGAAATGAATATCGATACCAAAGTCATTTCCGGCAAACTGTCAATTAGTAGTGAGTAATACCGTTTCCATGCAATTTGGTAAAAGGGAAATGTATTAAAAAAAGTTTTGCAAACTACCCATGCAATAATGCAGGTTAGATGCCCTTAATCAATTTCACCAATGCCTTTTTTTCCTCTTAAATATCAAAAAAACAGTAGTAGATTTCTCTGCCTCATGCCAAAAGTCAGTTCTTTACATTCCAGGAAAACTAATCCCATTATACTATCAGGTCAAATATTTTATAATAATGGTGACTTTGCAGTGCAAGTGTAAGCTATGAGCAGTGCATATTTTTGAAATTTTTAGTGTGATCATATCCAACACAAAATTTCATTATATTTTCCATCTTTAATAGTTATTGGTGTTCTTATGATAG